ACTTAGGAGGTGTCCTGAGTGTCTGTTCATGGTGGTTGTGTCATTTTTAGGTACCACTGAATCGTCTATAACTCATAGGATCCTATGAACCCTGCCCTAAACTGGGCCAACCTCATGATCTCTGAAATACTTGAGTCCATTGTTATAGTCACTGTGTCAGTCTAGTCTGTCTTGCTCTTTACTGGGGCTAGACTCTGTGTGTGTGTGTGTGTGTGTGTGTGTGTGTGTGTGTGTGTGTGTGTGTGTGTGTGTGTTGTGAAGTTAATATTGATTATTTTAGGACATTTATAGATTTCCTCTGGGCATTAGTCTCAGAGGGGTGTAACCTTAATGAATAATTGAATCCCATCTAGTTCTAGCATCATGGCAGAGGAGCAGTTATTCAAGGAGACAATCTGCTTTACATTCCAGTTCTTAACTCTTTCTCTGATTCTGGCACCTTCTGCTATGAAATCAGTGGTTGATGAGGCTAGCAAGGCACCATTTAATACTGGTGTCACATTAGTGGAGGCTGTGGTTCATCAGTGCTTTGGACTAAGGATTTACTCACAGCTTGGATTTCCTAAGTGTTCTGTGCTCGTTCGGTTTTACTTTGCTCTGGGTGGAAAGTGACCAATAATTGTACCTTAAATGTCTACTCAAGATTTTAAGACCGTTTTGCCGCTCAACAAAATACAGGACTATCTGTGGACTGTCTCAGGCCACTTGACTTCTTTGCTCTTTCAGCCCTGCCCCCTTTTCCCAGACTGTATTCATTCACTTAATTGGTTCTTGGAAGATCATCCCTGTTGAGTTGAAAAAGTTGTCTGTTTAGCCTTGTAAACCAGTTTTATTTTGAGGTTAAAGATGGACCTCTCTCCCTGAAAAGAAATACAGAGGAGAGGCCTCATACTACTGAGATAAAGCTTTGTTTATGGCATCCTTCTCAGGGAGCCTTAGGGCTGAAGTCTGGCAACAAATGATTTGATGCCACAGAGAGTTCAAAGTTTAGTGGGTGGTTCTTATTTTGATGTTAATTTATGTGTCCAACTTGTCTGCTACTTCTGGCATTATTCACATGCCTAAAGCACTAGTCTTAAGCATGTCAGTATTGGCTGTTTGGTTCTGACAGTACCCAGATCCTGAGGTCGCACAGTATACAGTGATCTTAGGATTTCTTGGGAAAACAGACTATAGTGCAGGACTACAGCTTTTTATCAGAGCACAGAGATGAAAAGGCAAAGGTGAGGATGCAGAAGTGAGAGTAAAGTAGGAAAAAGATGGATTTATTAGAAAGCTACATTCCCGAAGGGACAAACTGCCTTCGCTAACAGATAGGGAGGGAAGGCCTGTTTGGTTTGTTTGGGTTTAATTGAGCACTTGATAGTTATACCCCAGTATGATATATAGTCACTTTGAAAAATTACCAGTGAGGAATTCTGATAAATTATGAATTTTATAAAAAATACATTAAAAATAAGCTGCTAGATTAAAAAACAATAGCTTTAACTGGGAACAAATCTAGTTGGATTCTTAAGTTAGTGTTACATTTTTAATTTTAATTATGTTTCTTTTGTATGGTATGTACTGTCCATTCAACTATGAATCATAGCAACACTGAATAACTAATCGAAACGCTGCCCTATACTGTGCCATCTTCATCGTCTCTAATATACTTGGAGCCCGTTGTTACTCTGTCCATGTTGTTGAGGGTCTATCTTTCTGGCCCTCTACTTTTTCAAGGACTAACCCTTCATAACAACATGAGTTTGTGAGATGAAGCTTTACTGACTATCCTTGCCTCTAAGGAGCGCTCTTGATTGCACGGTACACTTGCTCCAACACCACAACTCAGAGGCATTGATGATTCTTCTGTCATCCTTGATCACTATCCTGCTTTCAGATGCAGTAGCAGGTGATTGCAAAGACCGTGGCTTGGATTGTGTTTGAATCCACCAAAAAAAGGAAGTCTTCTCAGTTTACACTCCAGAAAGGAGAGTCAGCTATGAGTTGATCCAGACTTGATGGCACATAACTACCTTGATCAATGATTTTTTTTTTAAATTTTTAGGTTTTTAATGTTAACAGCAACAACAAAACATTTCAACCCTTTCTTACATGTGTAATTTTTAGTCAGCCAATCTGGTGAACAAATACTGCTGTCCTGGGGAGGAATTATACCCCTTGTATTTGAAAGGCGTCTGTTGCTCCTTTGTCTTCTGGCTTCTCAGAGTGAAACCATTCTGATTCCTGATCTGTTTTCCTGCAAACAAGCAATCTTTTGTATAGAATTGTTTCACTATTACCCATTGCTGTGCCTTTGTTTGCTTTTTTTCTTTAGAGTGACCAGCATTTGTAGTTTTCCTAAGACTGAGGATAATAATTTTTAAAAAATCAGTTGCTTTTGAGTCAGTTCTGACTTACGGCCTGTGTCATGTTGTAAAACTGTTCTACAGTGGTTTTCAGTGTTTGTGTTTTTTTTGTTTGTTTGTTTGGTTGTTTTGTTTTTTTGTGTTCCTGTTTGGTTGGGTTTTTTTACATTAACAGGCCTTCTTAAGTTCTTCCGAGGAAATACTCAAACCACCCTGGGCAAATCAGAAAGGTGATAACCCTAATCCTTTGTATGAGCATCTCATTATTTTGGGTGATAATCTACTTCTCTTTTTATAGTAACTTTTTGATGATGTCTTTAAATTCATCTTTCAGCTTTCTTGATTTCACCACCCACCCCCTATGTTTGGTATCTTTGTTGTTGTTTTTATTTGGGGTTTTTTTTGTTTGTTTGTTTTAGTAGAATTCTGTATTTGATTGAAGTATGTATTTCCTTTTGAGGATATTGATAGAGCTTTTTCCTTGTAATCTTTCTGCCATGTGGATGTGTTTTGGTTGGCTGGTTTGGTTTGGTCTTTCCATTTCATATTAGGAACTTTCTCCTTTTCTAATAATACTTGGTTGTTGCTTCTTACTAGAGTTTAGGGAAGGGAAAGACACCAAAACTCCAATTTGTACTCTCTGAGCATTAGAATGCTCAGGAGGTTGGTATATTAATACCATTCACTATCTGCTGGCACAACTGCACAGGGAAGAGTTTCAGGTTCCTGCCTCCAGGTGAAGGTTGACGTTGCCAGTGAGAAGACATGGCCTGGAAAGTAGATGATGTACATGTTACTTTATTCCAGTTTACACCTGTGCCCTCACTCCACCCCAAGTTCCAGTAAGATGCACCTATGTGCAGCTGTGTGCTCTACCTAAGAATTCTGTATTTTACATTGCCAGAAGAAGAAAAAGGGCCAGTGTTTTGCTGCATTGGGAGAACAGTTGCCTAACTATGTAAATGGGGGATGGGGTGTAGGGATTTGTTTCATAAACAGCTTATCAACACATTCTTGTTTTTAAGCCTGAAATTGTCAGAGGTACATAGTAATATGATTTTTCTAAGGCTTTGTTGGTTTTTTTTTTAACATTCATTTTCTTTATAAACATAATTACTTTCAATGACTGTAGATTGTGTTGGGAATTTTACCTCATTATTTCCTTGTTAAGTTATTGATTAAGTTCATTTTTAACATTTTTTACTTTTATACACAGAAATATATGGTCCCCCAATATTTAAGAGGAGGGAGGAGAGTGAATATAAAAATCAGAATTCTACAAAGGATACACATTGTTAATGCACTCAGCTGCTGCTAGTTGGAAACCATGTGGAGCACATTTCCTACTCATGGGTTGTCATGGATAAGAGTCAATTTGAAGCAGCTAGGCATAGTTTATTTTTAGCTTCTCATCATTATAAATAATTCTAAGATGAATGTTTTTGCTAATTTGAGATGTTTTTATTCATGATGCCAAGCTATAGAATACACTACTTAATATAGATGGCTAAGTGTAAAATTTGGTTTAGAAAATTATTTGGGATCTAGGTCATTATCTTCAGGAAAATCTGTTATTTTCCCTGAGATGCAGATTTATATACTGTGTAAAAGATTAGTATAACTGTGACAAAATTGAAAATAGAAAAACTTAGCAGCGAATGCTTTGTTGCTAATTTTTAAGTTCTTTACCTAAAAGTAAAAGCCATCCCTTTTCAGTATTAATTGAATTCCATTAATTAAAGTTCCATTTCTAAGCTAGTTTCACAGGAATTCCTGGCGGAGTATGTTGGGCTGCTAACCAAAAGGTCAGGCAATTTGAATCCACTAGCCTCTCTGAGGGAGAAAGATGTGGCAGTCTGCTCCCATTACAGTAGAAAGGCCACCAGGAGTTGTGGAAGACTTGGCAGCAGGGGACTGTTTGGTTTGGTTTTAAATAGGTGTATCTAATACTGGTTATTTCCCCTGCAAAATTACAAGGGTTCCATATCACAGTAGTTTAATATCATTAATGAGCTCTTGTGGCTTGCTGGTAAGGTGTTGCAGTGCCAACCCAAATGCACATGGTTTGAATCCACCTGCTCATCTGATGGAGAAAGATGAGCAATCTCTTCCTGTACAGTTTATGGGAAGGTTGCTAGAAACTTGCCAAATACGGCTTGACTGTGACTTGACTGTACATAGCGATATTGGATTTCTTACGTAGATTTAACATTTAATTAGAAAGTAACCAGGAGCATGTGAATTTTCTTGCATTTAAATTTGGACGATTTGGCCATTGTCAATCCTCAATCTGATGGTTATTTAAAATTATTTTTTTCTAAAACAGTACAGACTGACCTATATTTAATATACACCAGTAAGTGAAAAATCAAAGTCATAGAGGGAATAAATGAGATGTGATAGAAACTTTGAAAGTTGTGAAGAGCTGAGGGTGGGATAGCCTAACTCAAGGTCTACACAGGGCTCAAATGAGATTACCTTCAACTAGAAAGGCACTGGCGTTTTAACATTCCCAGGAGGAAAAGGTATGGTTGGGTCAAGCTGTGTCTGCTAGGGAATTTGAACAATTATTCTGTGATGACCAGGTTAATTTCCAGTTCGCAGTAACTTGGCTTTCTAAAATTTTGCCTGTGTACTTCCCATATCTAGGTTTAAGAAAATCAACCAAGAAGCGCAGTGAGTCCCCACCTGCTGAGCTCCCCAGTTTGAGGCGGAGCACACGGCAAAAGACCACGGGCTCCTGTGCTAGTACCAGGTGAGCATGTGTGGGCTGGGTAGACACAGTTTTCCTAGGTTTTCTTTTCTTCAGACACTTGTGAATTTTCATCAACATCCTTAACCCTAAAAGGGTTAAAAAAACATAATTTTAAGTAAATACATTATTTGCTTTTAATAAAGAAATAATACTTGTATTTATGAATGCTTCTCAAGAATATATTCACATTTTTATTCTGTCTTAATCATGTTATAGCTAGTAGGTGTTTTTTTTAATGCTTTTATTTACTGATGTATTACTGTTGTACCATTCATTGTCCTTTTGAGTTCTTGCCAACAGTTGAGACGTTTCAGATTTCAGTTTCTGTCTGTTAATAAATATATTGGCATCTTTATGCAAAAGTATAGGAACTGTTTATATTCTTGCACATCTCTGGTTCCCACTTCTCCCAGTCACTGATTAGACATTCATTTTTAGAAAGTCTTTGATTTGCTGTAATGTATTTTTTTACATACATTTAAACAAGTGATTGTGAATCTTACTGACAGGCGGAACCTTTTTCCTCAAAGTTTTCATGATGCATGATTGATTGATGTTGGTCAAGTGCCCTTGAGCTGCCAATCTCTGAGGCAAATATGACTTCTCCCTCCTTTACGGCTGTTCTTCCTGTTCATTATGGGGAGTCCCCTGATTGGGATGGGCTTGACTTATGGCAGCAACATTTAAATCCTCCTGTTTTGTTTGGTATATCTTATCAGTTTATAGTATATACCATACAGATTTGCAGCACATGATTTCACCGATACTGTCATCTTAGTCTATATCTGGTGTTTCTGATCTCCAATGACAGCACTTTATAATTCAGTAAAATGGAAATAAAAATGAAACTTAATTTTAGAAGTGACTTACAACAAGGTTATTAGAATAGAGTCCCATTGTAAGTCGGGTACTAACTGTATGTCGGAATCCAGCAGTTGGAGAATAAGTGTAACCGGCCCTTTTCAGTACTCTATGTACGTGGGAAGATTTTGAGCACTTAACTTTGGTTCCTTTATAAAACGTGCGGAGAGTATGCATGGCCATGCTCCAGGCAGATTGCTAACTCATGCAGCAGAACTCTGTGTCTCAGACCTGTCCTGAATTGTGAGGCGACTTGTTTGTCTTTACTTTTTTTAAATTCTTCTACAATTTGTATTTTATTGATTAAGTGACAGTACAGAGACATTATGAACAATCTGTACACAATTCTTAATGCATGTAATAAAAATCTAAAAAGCCATGTAGTTATAATTCTTTTCTAAATACCAGTGACTTTGTCACTTTAGATTTGGAGGAAAGTTTTCATAAAGAAAATAAGTACCAATATCTTCAATTGTTGTTAAACTGTCACATCATTAAGTCCCACTAATTCACAATTGACTACCACACACTACACATTCAAATTTTCAACCATTCATAGCACATAACAAAGTTATTAGGAAAACTTGACTACAGAATCCACACAATTCCGAAAGGGAAAAAGCCATGAGGAGGGATGTTTATGTTTAACACGTTGCCACACATGCTTAGAAACACATTTGCCGTCCTTTGCAGCAACTTAGGAAGAAATTTTACCAAACAGTCTTTTAACTTATATATCTAGAAAACATGGAAAATAGACTTAATTTAAAATGTTCAAGCCATAAATGCATGACTGTGACTCCAAATTGTCATTAAGTATGTATTATGGGATATAAAAACTGTCCGCTTGCCCCATGGAATGATACACTGACACCGAAAAGCCCCCCACAATTTTAACATACCACATTTTCTATTCGTACCAAAATACAACCAGCAAAGGATCTCGCCTCTTAAAAAAACAACACTGCATTTACACTTAAAAATGGGATGAAGTGGGATTTCCTTCTTAAAAATGTTTTTAGAGCTACTAAAAACCTTACATTTACAAAATAGTTGATAAAAATACTCGTGGATTGTACAAGAAAGGAGATACAGGGAACACTGATAAGAGATGGTAGACAAATATTAATCAGACTTGGCTTCTTTTTCTCCTGCTTGATCAGAGGCTGGACTCTTCTCTTTTTTAGTTTCTCCCATGTCTGCAGGTAAATCTTTAGTTTCTTGGTTAGTCACTGCACTATGTGTTCCCTTTGCTCTCCTTTCCCCTTTTGTTTGCACTTTTTTTGTCAGAAGACTTCTCCTTTTCTGCTGCCTTTTTGGGCTTCGCTTCCACTTTTGCAGGTGGCCTTGCTGATCTCCTCTTGGGTTCCTCCTTCACCACCCCCTGAGCCAAGCTGACTTTCCTTTGGGGCATGTTGGTGGCCAGGTACCTGTGGGCCGCGGTGCGCACAGAGCTTTGGTGAAGCTGGGTATTTGTATTTACTCTTACAGGCAGCGCCCTGTGTATCTACATGATCACCATGTGTCTGTGCTCACTGCTGTTCATTGAGTTCTCATGCCTAGCACCTCTTCATTGGGTTTTCAAGACTGGAAGTCTTTCCGGGAAGAAAATGTTCATCTTTCTTCCTCGGAATTGCTAGTGGGCCGGAACTGCAGATCTTTGACTTGGCGCTGCTCAGGTGTAACACACAGTGCCACCTTCTGTGTTTGTAATTGGTGCATATGCACTGTTAAATGACTGAATAATATCGTTTAAGAACTATCATTTCAACACTTGTTTAAAATTTTGGTAAACTTTAAAACAGCTGTTATCTTTGAAGAAAACATGGACTTCATCGTGCTTGCCTCTGAGTAGCACTCTGGGTGCACTTTCTGTTTGATCTTTAGGCAGTCTGTAGGATATTCAGTATCCATTTTCAACACAACAAAGGCAACAGTTCTTATCCTTTTTCATTATCTAGCTCTCAGATGCATAGCAGGTGATTGGAAAAACCACAGCTTTAATTGGGCACACTTTTAGTCCATATGCTGCTATCTTTGCCCTTCAGTACTTGGGAGGAGGGATCCCTGACCACAGACTTTCCCAATGTGTTACATCTCCTGATGCCTGACTACCAAGTGTGTTGATTGTGGCTCCAAGCAAGATGAAATCATTGACAACGTCAATGTTTTCTCCGTCTATCACAATGTTATTCTATAGGTGAAGTGGTGAGAATTTTGTGTTCTTAATGTTGAGATGTAATTCATATTGAAGGCTGCCCTCCTTGGTCTTCTGCAGCAAGCCCTTCAGGTCCTCCTCACTTTAAGCAGGCGAGGTTTTGTCACCTGAGTAACAGTAGGTGGCAGTCTACCTGACAGCATGTAATTTGAAGTCAGTTCAGTTGTGATAGTTTTTGTATTTTCTAAGCAAATTTGGAAAGCTACAACTTAAAATATCCAAAGTTGAAATTATTTGGTGAGTAATTTGCTTTACGGGGTATTTGTTTCTTGTTTTCTGCCTTTAACCTAACTAAATGTCAATATATGTAGCATTTTAAAAATCACTTCTTTAAAGAATGGCACTGTTGCATTGGGTCTCCTCCATCTCTCTGCCACCTTTCTTTTGTCTGGTGTGAATCTGAAGGGGTTTTGTGCTAATCCTTTATATGAGCTCTGTTGGCATGTCTATAGAAAGACCTCTGCTAAGCCGTAAGTGATGCCTCTCCCTAGTTTGATTCCAACTCCAAGGGAGAAAGATGGACAGTCTACTCCAGTAAAATTTACAGCTTCCCAAAAAACCTGCTGGAGGGTGTTCAGCTATGAGTCCATTTTGACTTCATGAAAAGGAGTTGAGAATACTTATCTTGGAAACAGGACCTCATAAATGAATAGAATTTTTTCCCCCTGGTCAAATGGCCTTTCTGTATAGTTGGAAATTAAATCAACTCTCGACAGCAGCGCTTGGTAGCACAGGAGCTGTAATTGTGAATTCACTATAAGTTGAAAGAATTTTAAATAACAGTGTTGGCTGTTACACATAGTGATTTTCAGCAACACTTTTTTACTGTAAAGGAAAAGAAGAAACTGGCTTTGTGTTCCATGAATTTGAGCTTTGTGCTGGCTATATACACTGTTCAGTGGTAACACTGCCTGTAATGACATGTGTCTGTTGCAGTCGGCGAGGCTCTGGCCTGGGCAAAAGAGGAGCAGCTGAAGCTCGTCGACAGGAGAAGATGGCAGACCCTGAAAGCAACCAGGAGACGGTCAATTCTTCAGCTGCTCGGACAGATGAGACTCCTCAAGGAGCTGCAGGTAGAGCACTGGTTAGGCTTGGCATTTGCTTCTGCGCTTTAGGTTTATGGAGAGACATAAATGGCCTGTTAATAGAATGAAGGAAGGGAAAAGGAACACAACACAACACACGAAGATTACCATCCTGTACTTAGTACCATCACATTCACCTTTACCTGCTTCACAGGTTTGATCCTTTGATTATTGAATATTGTTGCTGCTGTCATTTTTCAGTCCTTGACTAAACCTGAATAGAATTAACATTTGAAGGGCTTTTAGGAAGGGAGTAAGATTTTCTGTTTAAGCATCTCAGTATATTGTCTAGTGCATAGATAAAATAGTTGCTCATTGATATTTTGAAAGGATTTAAATGCATAATAAAAATGTGAGGATATAGTTTACATTGTTCATTTATATATTTCAATTTAGAATTTTGTCATTACTAAAGAGGAATAGGTATTTTCTTTGAATCTAGGTACCTTTTGTAATAGTATTTGTGCTTTTTCATTTTCTTGATGACTTTACAACAAACAGTGAAGGCTACCACCCCCCTAACTTTGAATGTATACTTTTTTTTTAATTTTTTTTTTTTAATGTATACTTGTTAACAATCCAAAACAAAGCTAATATAGTTCAGTAAACAGCTTATAAACATGATTTGTTACTGTTTCATTAAAATGAAAAACGGCTATAAAAGTGTTCTTAGAGTTTATCCTCCTGTGATAAAAGCATTAAAACCCATATTTTGGGAGAAAAAGGATGATACACACAGGTTTGGATGTAAATATGTATGGTCTTTACTTGAACAAAACTTTTACTGTTTTTAAAATTGTAGTTTATGTGCCAGTTTTCTTTCATTCCTATGACCGTCTTGTTTGGACAGTTTTACTGTGACTGCCTAGATTTTATGCTTATCATCTGCAAACAAATACACTCCCACTCACCCACACTCCAAAATTCAATTTTATTTAGTGTTTTTAGCACCCTCTTTTTCTAGTTTGATATTATGAATTAGTGATTCTGTAGCGTTTCCTTTATAGGAGAGGAGAAATTTTGAGTTACTTTGTTTTGTTTTTTTTTTCCCATAGTTAATAGATGTTGGTAAAGCCATTGCATGTACATTTCATGGATGTGTCTTCTGACACATTGCCTGTTTTACTGAGCGGGGTACTATCCTTGTCTTTCTTTTTTTTTATTATTAATTTGTGTATTTGTGTACCATCAAATCGGATCTGACTGGTACAGAAGGAGATTGAGCATCTAGTGGATTCATACTGCGCACCTCTGGAATTGCAGTGCAGCTTCTTGCCCTAGGCCATGAAAGTTCCCTCTTCTCGTCTTTTAATGTTGGTTTCAACATAGAATACAGGGACAGCAGTCCTCAGATGGAGTTGTTGAAGATGGTGGTGTTCACTTTTCCCTCCATAACTATAATTGTTAGCATTCACTCATACTGAAGTATGAGTGTGTCCTGACATTTTATAAATGAGGAAAAGGAGAAGCTTGAGCAGGATTGCCCACTCAGATGTGCATCTCGAAATTTAGGTCGTCAGGACTTTTTAAAAAAAATTCATGTGGATACAGAGACCAAGGTGAATGTAGTGGTGTACACTTAATTTTATTGTCACATTTACCTGTGTGGAAAAAGCTTCACTCTTTGCCTTCTTGAGTACTCTTAGGAGGCTTAACGGCTCTCATCTAGTTGCTTTCAACTCATGGTGAGCCATGTGTGCCGGAGTCCAGTGGCTGAGGTTTTGGAAGTAGCATGCCAGCTAAACAAAAGAACAAGAACTGCACTTGAGGGTGTCCAGGGCTGGAAGCTGCCACATTGTTCCCCAAGCACTGGCTCAGATCCACGTTTACTTTTGGTTGGCAGTTGACTGTTTAACCCACTCAGCAGAACCCTCTGTGTGCTTGTACTGAAACCACAGTTCCTCTGCCCATTGGTTCCATTTGGAGACTCATAGTGACTTTGAATTGCGTTTTTAAGGCTATAATTCTCATGTGAGCAGCCCATCGTGTAACCTGTTTTGCTTCTGTTGTGTTGTTTCTATACCAGCAAATCTATACTGACTCTTCAGTGGGTTTTCAGAAGCTGTAAAGTGCATGGGGAGGAGATTGCCCATCTTCCTACCACAGAGCAGCTGTAGATTGAACCATGTCCGTTGTTTCGGTAGTGCAGCTCCTTAACAGCTAGGCTGCCAGAGTCCCTGTTCTGTCATGGGGGCTCCTTTTTATGGCTAACGATAAAAGAGCACGCTGGGCTTGTGTCTTGGTTCTGTGAACACTAGCTCTATTACTGTCTGCTGGCCACACAGTTACCAGTGGTGAAAACCCTACCGTAATTGAGAATGAAGTGCTGCCTCTCAACCCAAAGAATGAATGTCTTTGAATTTTGTGTTGGGAAAGAATATTGAATATACTATCACCTGCCCATAGAACAAACAAATCTGTCTTGGAAGAAGTGCAGCCAGATTACTTGTCAGAGGCAAAGATGGTGATATCTCAACAAACTTTGGGCCTTTTGTCCAGAAGAGGCCTGTCTCTGAAATAGGATGTCATGTGGAAAGCATGGATGGTCAGTCCAGGAGAGGGAAGGCCCTCGAGAGGAGGTGGATGTAATGAAGTGTCTACAGAAGTGAGCTTGACCAGAGCAGAAATTGTGAAGATGGGGTGGGATTTAATTTCTTGTACATAGAGGTACTGTGAGCTTGCGCTGACTTACTGGCTCCTCCCAACACCAGCACCATTCTTTGGGTTTTACACTCAAATTGTCATGACTCTCTGCTCTTCCCATTGCCTCAATATTTGTTAAAATCCAGGTAGTTAGTGTCAAGTAAAATTTAATTCCTAATCTTTCTAGTATTATATCTGCTTGCCGCATGGGAGGTTGCATCAATTCAAGTTTTAAAAACTTGGAGCTTTAGGGTAAGGGAGAGGTGTAGTGTGCAGGAAGTTGATGATAAGCACTGTAATCCAGAAGGAAGACAAGTGGGCACATGAGACAGTCACGGTAAACACGTTCAACATGTAACCCTGCATTACCAGTAACGGCCAACGTCAGCTCACAAGTGGATATAGGCAGAACAAAGCATAAGAAAACAAAACCTTCATGGTCCAACAAAAAGGGTGGAGGAAATTAAAAGCACAGGCATTTAATTTTAAATCTAACATTGATCCCCCGCATCCATAACTCTGTCTTAACTAAAAAAAAAAAAAATTTACTCATCTGGCATTGATTGATGACATTTTTTACTTGTCTGACTTTAGAAACACCCAGAAGCTGACTCTTACTGTTATATGATGAAAGTGCAAAATTCTGCGCACGTGCTGTAGTTGACCCACAGGTTCTTAAAAACATGCGTTGACCTCTGGATCTCTAAGTAGGAGACTGAAGATTGGGGGTTACAGTGAACAAATGCTTCCCACATTCCATCAAAGGACCAGTTTTTCTCAGTAACTGATTCCTATCAAGGTGGCATGCCACTCCGATAAAAAATTAGAGCCTCTCTGTCCTTTAAAAGGTTTCTGTGGTCCTCTTATGATGGAGCTACCACTTGAATAGAAGAATAACAGCTTTTTAAATCATATTTTTTCCACAAGTTTGAATATCTTGATTAATGTTGTCTTTGGCAGTATATTGTAAAATACTATTTTTAATTAATTGAAGCAATATATTTTGGAAGTAATAATCTTCAAAGTCAGAGTTTTAGGTCTTTAGTAATTTTTTTTAAACCAGTTAACGCCTTTGATAGATGAAAAACATATCTTTAACAAAGTTATCTTTTTTGTTTTTCTAAGTATGGTTCCAGTATGTGTTTTTTAAACAAAATATTTATTCATTTTTATGATTTGCCTTTCTTGGACTCACAGTTCTAAGAATTTTAAAGCAAGCATACAAATCAGTTTAAGAAATTTGGCCATGATTGGAGTCTACTGCTAATGTTTTTTAAACAAGGGTTTTGTGTAATGTGAAGTAGCAGCCTATACTGAAATTTAAAAATGCGACTGAGAAATATATTTAAAGAACTGATCAAGTATATCTTATAAGAGTACAGTTTATGGAGGGAGCTCTGGTGGCCTAGTGGCAAGAAGCTGCACTGCAGTCCCAGAGGTGCAGGGTTCAAATCCACCAGATGCTCTGCTGAAGAAGGAGGGACAATCTCCTCCTGTACCAGTCAGATCTGATTTGATGGTACATGCACCAAAAAAAAAAAAGTACAGTTTATGAAGCTATATAACCTCGTAGCCTGGATTCAAACTTCTGGCTCCTTGTTTGACTTTGGATAAGCTTAGCATCTGTTGCCTAATGGGCGTGACAAAGCTCTTATTTATCTTTGTAAAACTGAGATGTAAAACACAAAGATGGTGCCTACAAAAACATACATCTGGAAGGAGTATTCTAGAACACCAGTACGAGCTATTTTTTTCTCCCACAAAAACTTTGTAATTTTCTCAACTATTTAATAATACTCTTTATAGTTTACTTGTAACTCTGAACCATGGGATTACTAACAATCTCTAAAGGACCAAATAATATAAAATTGCTGGTGGTTATATCATCATCTCCTTTTCTAGGAAGAGCTCTTCAAATTTCACTTTTGTGTTGGCACACTGAATTATATACCTCTTAGTATTTTTGTGTACTGTCAAGTCTGAACCAACTCACAGCTGACCCTCCAGTGGGTTTTCAGAGGCATTTAATTGCCTGAGAGGAGAATGGCCATCTGTCTCCCCTGGAGCAGCTGATGGATTTGAGCCACATGCGTTTTGGGTGGGCAGTACAGCTCCTCAACAGTAATATTAGCAATATTCGAGAAGATACTCTTTCTCACTTATATTGGTTCTTTCTTGTTCTGTATATATAGCTTAAAGTATTAAGGATGATAGTTCTACTTGGGTCAGTTGCCTTTTTGTTGTTAAATCCTTGAGGAGTGAATAGAAACGTTTAGGGACTAGAAATTGTTCCTTCTGTGGGAATATTGTTTACTTCCTGGTCAGGTTCATAATACAGCAAAATCAGCCTTTTAGTCTAGATTGAATTTTTTGTATAGGCGAGTGCTTGAGGGAGTAGAGCCCTTTAGAGTCTGAACTCTTTTTTTTTTTTTTAAATTTTGTGTGAGTGTACCGTCAAATCAGATCTGACCGGTACAGGAGGAGATTGTCTCCTTTTCCCGGCAGAGCATCTGGTGGATTCGAACCGTGTGCCTCTGGGATTGTAGTTGCAGCTCCTTGCCACTAGGCCACCAGAGCTCCCCCATTCTGCGAGTCTGAACTCTTTATTCATAGATCTCTAGTAGTTGTGCTGTCATTGATTAGTTGAAAAGAGTTTTTTCTGAAAATAAAATGTTGCAACTTTTGCAATTTTAGAAATTGTACTTGCAGTCCAAGAAAAAAGCTGACTGAAGACAATACAAGACCGACACCATCAAATGCCAGTTTTGTTTTCTGTTGTATTTCTGATTGTTTAATTGATGATCTGTTAAAAAGTTACAAAATTTTAGTCTGACTTAATTCTGGAAGAGTTTAACACACATAAGGAACCTGCCAGCAAGGTTATGTAGGTATGAAATACACAGGTGATACTTTTATACTTCTGTGATCAATACTTGAGTAGCATTAGAACAGCTGAGTGTGCAGTAGGGAAGCACTTCTGTCTTATTCATTCTAGTTTGTAAGCCTTTGATAAGCCAGACAGAAAATGTCAATGCTCTTTTCTAACCCTCACTGTTTTTTTAAAAAAAGGTCCAAATCTTTTCTTTAAAGCCTCTAGTTCTGTTGCTGGAGCTGTTGGCATGACCACCTCTGGGGAGAGTGAATCAGATGATTCTGAGATGGGACGGTTACAAGGTAAGGAAAGTTACTGAGCTACCTAGTCTTAAGAACTTTGTTGAAATAAACTCAGATACGTTTATCTGAACATAATCTAGCTAAATTTCTCATTTAATTGCAATTGGAGAGTCTGTTGTATAACTCAGAGAAAGCTAAATGTATATCCTTTGAAGTACTTTACTAGGTGGTTTTATAATAAAAAAAAAAAATCTTGAAAAAGACTGCTTTCTATGAAATTAATGGGAAAGTATACCTCAACTGAGAAGGGAAAAAGTCTACCTGAGCTGAAGGGTTTTTCTTCTATAGTGTTTGATGTTCATTCCCTGGAAAGCAGGCTTGTCTTATGCATAGATAAATTTATTGATGTGAAATGTTTGTAACAGATTTTTTATGTAAGACCAAAACACTTTAAATCAAACGAAAATAGATTTTTTAAGTTCCTGAAGGCTTGACTGTAATGAACACATAATTTTTCTTGATATTGTCAAAGGCCTATGACCAGTATCTCATTTGGAATTATTACCAGAGGAAACTAGGACAGGAGTAATGTTTAATTGTCTAAAATAAAGAAGTAGAATTTTTTTTTAAAATCATTTGAAAAATGTAATGCTTTTAATACTTTTAGATACTTTGTTTTGAACATGGGGCTGAACATGAGTGTGTTTTGTGTGTAATTAGAGAATTTAATAAAGCAACTCTTAAGGTTCAGAATGGAAAGCTCCATTGACTAGATCAATGTTAACAGGAATAAGATCACCTGCATTAAATCCATTCACTCCCCACCCCCAATTGTCTCCCTAGCTCTCTTAGAGGCCAGGGGTCTGCCCCCTCACCTGTTTGGTCCTCTTGGTCCTCGAATGTCTCAGCTTTTCCACAGAACAATTGGAAGCGGAGCCAGTAAGTTCATACTTTTAAGTTTGTCCTCCTCCCAAAATCCTTAATACACTTAATTATGATTTTTACTAGTTATCTGTTTACATAAGTATCGCTATTTTCATGAACTTAGAACCTGCTTTAAAAATAGTATTCATGTACATTCTCGCCTTAAATAATAGTAATAGATTTTTAAAAAAATGCTTTTTCTTGGTATCATATTAGAAAATGTCCTACACTAACACCTACACTGATTCTTTTGAATATTGTTGATGATGGTGCAGAACTACCTATTTTGTATCAAGTTAGGGTTTTCTCTAACCTACTGCCTTCAGCCATTTCCGGCTCACTCAGAGAGAGCCTGTATTGCGTTTCCAGGGGTATAATCTATATGTGAGGAGACTGCACATCTTTGTTCTCAAGAGTGATTGCTGGATTCAAACTGTCAACCTCTTGGTTATCATGTAACAGACTGTGCCACCAGAGCTCCAACAGACCCCCATAAGCAGGCTTGGGAGGAAAGATTTCTCCACTTAGTTGTCAGCCATTAAGATTATCTTATCACATTAATGTATTCATACTTAGAGATTCTGTCTCCAGTAGTAAAAACAGGGACTCTTGAAATTTACACTATATGTAAGTAATTTTTATTCTCTGGAAGAAGCAGCTGTTGTTTTTCTTTGCTTTTACTGTCCTGTCGGTTGATCTCAGATAACAATTCCTCCTGAATCATTTCAGAGGGACCTGTTGGGAACCCTGGTGACTTAGTAATACATTTGGGACTGATAATGAGAGGTCAATGGTTTAAATCCCATGACTGCTTTTAGAAAGAAAGTTGAGTAGACTACTCTGATTAGATACATGGTCACTGTGACGAAGAGACACTTCAGGTTGTTTTTGTAAAGCTGCTGTTGGCACTCCGTTGTATAGATGAACATAGTCAGGACCTTGTTACTAACATTTAGCTTGTCATTTTTGGTATTGTGCTGGCCTGTTTTGGTTTTCTAGGATTATCTTCATGACAGATTTTTACTTCTATGTGAGTAGTTAAATCGTAGTGAATTGTGGAGGATGTTGTAGGTCTTTTAAGGGCTTATACTATTTTGTATTTCCGCCAAGCAAGCAAAACAGTGGACTATGGTGTCAAACTTTGAAATCTTCAACTGGTAGATTAGAGATGGTAACTTGGAGCTTTATATTAATAAATTACTGTCATAATTTTAGTATTTTATTAACTTTTTCATTGTGTATACATTGCTTACCATGCTTATCTTAGAGATTATAGTGGATATCATTGCTTTGTTATAATTCAAAATAAAAACTTTATTGTCATCAAGTGAGAACTGACTCATAGCTGATAATCTAGCGAGTGTTCAGAGGCTCAGTTTGCCAACATATTTGGCCAGTTCTCAGATTCTCATATTTGTTGTGCTATCCTCTATCATTTATTTAAATTATCAGTGAGTTCTTTGTGAAAGATACCGTATTATTCCATTCTAGTTTTTATTGAATTTTAAAAAGAAATAAAACCAGTGTTGATTGTATTTTTATTTAAATTCTTTACATTCCTATCTTCTTTTGTTTCCAATTTAGTGGTTCTGAACTTGTAGGACCAGATTGAACTGCCTCATAGGGTATCCGTGCCTGTGAATGGCCTTTTCTTCCATGAAGTGGGTGGGAGGTAGACAAGAACCGCTGCTTTAATGCTTCAGCACTTAGCCTGCTCTGGCTCCAGGGGTCCCTATATTAATCATAAACTCATTACTCATTGCTGTGGAGGAGAGTGCCCAGCTTTGTTAAGAAGGCCAGCTGGTGGATTTGAACTGTCAGACTAACTTTGTGTTAGCAGTAGAGCACCCTACAGTCTACACTCTCAGAGTTACTGGGAAATACATGTGTAGAATGATAAAAGGTTTCAGAGTAATGATGTCTAAATAAAATTTCTTAATTGGTTGGCATATAAGCATTCATATGCTTTGTGTTTGCTTATATACAAACACATTTTGTAGCTTAGTAACAACTTTCTTGTTGTGGTCAGTTCACCCTTAAATGCTTTTCAGTTCTTGGAGCCATACAATTGAGTCTTAAAAGTAGAAACTGCAACCCAGTGGCCGTCCTGCACATAGAAAATGAGAAGTGTAAAGCCAGATTCTTGTTCCATTCTTTATTTGTTGCCTTGATCTTGTATTTCCTTATCTTTCATTGTATTTGTCCTGATTTGGTATTTATAGAGACGTTCTTAAACATTTCTTCTTCTTCTTTTTTTTTTTAACTTAAACATTTCTTATAAAGAAAACCTTTCCTCACTGTGAAGATTTTTAAAAATAGCTGTTAATTGGATTCTGCCTTGAATATGTGAGCATTTATGTCTTAAACACAGTCTTCCCTGTATTTTAGATCCTGGAAGATAAACAAGTGTTTCTTATCTAGAGCCTCACCTTCCACCAAGTAATAATTCTCTTCAGTATTTACAGATGCTCATTTGTTTGCCTCTGAAGGTTCTAAGGCCCAGCAGCTTCTGCAAGGACTACAAGCCACTGATGAAAGTCAGCAACTTCAGGCAGTTATTGAAATGTGTCAACTTTTGGTCATGGGCAATGAGGAGACCTTGGGAGGCTTTCCTGTCAAGAGTGTTGTCCCAGCTTTGGTAAGCATTGCATTTCTCCCTCACTTTACATCTCTTACCCTAGACTGCTCCTGCTTTCACTGAATCTGTGATGGTTGTTACTAAGAATTTTTTTAAGTGACCTAAGACTCGAGAGTTAGGATTGGTGGACGATGACACAACCCTGCTCGCTGAAACTGAGGAGGACCTCATGCACTTACTGCAGAGGGTCAGGGACTGCAGCCTTCAGTATGGACTGAGGCTCAATGTCAAGAAGACAAAGATTCTCACTACTGGACCAATTGGTAGCGTCAGGATGGATGGCGAAGAGATTGAGATTGTTCACAGCTTCAGTTTGCTCGGCTCCACGGTCAACACTCTTGGCACCAGCAGCCAGGAAATCAAAAAACGTATTGTGATGGGAAAGTCTGCGGTTAGGGACCTCTCTTAAAAGTACTCAAGAGCAGCGGTGTCTCTCTGGAGACTAAGGTGCACCTGATACAGGCCATGGTTTTTGCAATCACTTGTTATGCATCAGAGAGTTGGACAATGACTAGAGAGGATAGGAGAATTGACGCCTTTGAGCTGTGGTGCTGGAGAAGAGTATTGAATGTACCATGAACTGCCAAGAAAACAAACAGATTCATCCTAGAGAGAGTTAAACCAGGCTGCTCCTTGGAGGCAAGGATTCTGAGGCTTCGCCTGACATACTTTGGACATGCTGTAAGGAGAGACAGGTCTTTGGAGAGGGACAACATGCTGGATAGAGTAGAGGGACAGCACAGGAGGGGAAGACCCTCTATGAGGTAGATTGATTCAGTGACTGGGGTAATCGGGATGGGTGTGTCAGAGGCAATGAGATTGGCACAGGATAGAGCAGGGTTTAGGCAGGTTGTACATAGGGTTGCTATGAGTCGCAAACGACTCGACGGCACATACCAACAACAAGACTCGAGAGATACTAGAATTAAGCATATACCACAGAGACTGTAGGTTCTGTCTGATGACTGAGTCTTTTTATCTGTGTGCGAAGATGACAGAACAGGCATAGAAATCTGTGATGTTTCTAAGTGGAGGATAGGCACTGCAGCAACATCTCCTTAAGAAATAAGAAACCCTCCTGATTGCTCTTGTTCTGTGCCATCGATTGTCTGTGATTCATAGCATTCCTATATACATTAATTAGTCCTGAAAGCTGCCCTGTCCTGCACCAGTCACATCATCTCTGAAAGACCTGATCCTGTTGCTCTAGTCACTGAGTCAGTCCGTCTCTTCTGAGGCCTTCCTCTCTTGAGCTGTCCCTCCATCCTACCAAACATGATGTTCATCTCCAAGGACTAGTCCCTCTTGGTCATATGGCCAAAGTAAGTGTCAAAATCCTGGCCTCGAGGAAGGAGCAAACTCATTTCACCATCTCCAGCACAGAATTTTTTTTTTCCCCGGCAGTCCACTCTATGTTCAAAACTCTTCTCCAGCACCACAACTCAAAGACATGGATCCTTCTATCATGCTTACTTATTGTCCAGCTCTCGGATGCATAGCAAGTAATTGGTGAAGACCATGTCCCAGATCAGGTGCACCTTTGTCTTCAGAATGACATCGTTGCTCTAGAGAGATCCCTCACAAGAGACTTTCCTAATGCAGTTCACCTTTTGATTCTTGACTGTTGGTGCCAAGAGTATTGATTATGGAGCCAAGCAAGGTGAAGTTATCAATAATCTCAGTCTCTTCTCCATCTGTCATGAAGCTGCCAGTTGACAGATCTGTGAGAATTTTTGTTTTCTTGATGTTGAGCTTGAATCCATATTGAAGTCTCTAGTCCTTGACCTTCTGCAGCAAATGCCTCCTGTCCTCTTCCGTTTCAGCAAGCAAAGTTGTGTCATACACATAATGCAGGTTTTGATGAGTCTTTCTCCAGTCCTGATACCACACTCCTCTTCATAAAGTCCAGCCTCCCAAATGATCTGTTTTGCATATAGGCATGTTTTGAAAAGGCATGGAGGTAGGATGCATTCCTGATGCATACCTTTCCTGATCCTGAACTGTGCAGTGTTTCCCTGCTCTGTCCTACCCTTATTTCTGGTCCAAGTAAAGGTTTCACATGAGCATAATTATGTGTTCTGAGATTCCAATTCTTGTCAACAGGTTTTCCACAATTGGTTGCAGTTGACACAGTCAGAGGCCTTTTCATTCCTTTGGTACTCTTTGCTTTTTGCCAAGATCCATCTCCGTTGGCTATGATGTTGCCTTTTTTTAAACCCAGCCTGCACATGTGGCAGTTCTCTGCTGATGAACTTACTGTTTCAGTCGTTTCTGGATAATCTTCAGCAGGATCTTGCTTGTGTGTGGTATTAATGATATTGTTCAATAATATCCACACTCTGTTGGGTCACCTTTTTTTGGAATGAGAATAAATATAGATTCCAGGCAACTGGTCACATAGTTGCCCTCCAGATTTTTTTGCATAACCTGGTGAGCACATTTGTTTGCTCAGATACGTCAGTTGGTATTTCATCAATGCCTGGGGCCTTGTTTTTTGCCAATTTCTTCAGAGCAGCTTCAACTTCCTCTTTCATCACCATAAGCTCTTGTTGTTTCATGAAGGTTTTCTATGTCAGCCAATTCATTTTGGTATATTGCCTCAGTGTTCTCTTTCCATCTTCTTTTAATGGTGCCTGTGTTGTTTAACATTCTGCCTTCAGCATTCTTAAGGGCTTGAATTTGTTCTCCAGTTCTTTTCAGTTTAAGAAATGTTGAGTAATTTCCTCTTTTGATTTTCCAGCTCCAGCTTCTTGCACATTTCATTAAAATACTTTGCTTTATCTTTTCATCCTGCCCTTTGAAAGTCTTCTGTTCAGCTCCTTCGTTAGGTTAGCACATAGCTAACTCACTGGGAGTCACAAGGGAGGAGGAACTGTTGCAAACAGACACTACTGATTGGACCCATCAAATGTGAAAAGTATGAATGTAGGAAAGTTGGAGATTGTTAAGGAAGAAATGAACACGTAAATACTGATGTACCAGGCATTGGCAAAATGAAATGGCTTGGCATGGGACAATTCAAATTGGAGAATCATATGGAGATGAAACTGATGTGCCACACGTGGTAATGGTTACCCAGGGTGGACAGTGTCTGCTCGAGCTTCCTGACTAAAACAAGCCTGGAAGTAGGAGCGGCATCCACTTCCGAAATGGCTTGCCTGTGGAAACACTGTGTACGAACAGTGCTCAGGCCTTTTGTTCATAGGGTCGCTGTGAGTCGTCTACGACTCGATGGCACCTAACAGCAACAACATGGAGATTAAAAGATGAGAAAAAATGGAGTCGCTTTCATAGTTTAAAAGACCATTTCTAGATTCATCTTGAAATAAATGTTGTAGTGACAGGATAATATCCCTATGCATTCAGGAGGACCCACTGATAACACTATCATTCAAACATATGCACCAACATTTAGGGCCAAAGAGGAGGAATTAGATGACTTCTACCGACTTTTGCAGTCAGAAATTGATTGAACATTCAACCAATACTTTAATAATAATGAGTGATTTAAATGCAAAAGTTGGAAACAAGAAGGATGAAGTAGTTGGAAAGTATGGACTTTGTGACGGAAATGAGGCTGGAGACAGAATGACTGTACAGAATTGTGTTAAACACTTTTTATAAGAAACGGCAGCCATACTCGTGGACTTCACCTGATGATCTACACAGGAATTCAATCTGCTGGGGAAGCTCAGTACCAGCTGTGAAAACGAGGCCCCCTGAGGATTGTGAAACGGACCATCCACTACTCATATGCAAGTTGAAGCAGAAGCTAAAGAAAATCAAATCAAATCCACAGGAACCAAAGTTTGACTTCGAGTCTATCCCACCAGAATTTAATGACCGTCTCAAGAACAGATTGGAAGCCTTGAGCATTAATGAGCGAAGACCGGAAGAACTGTAGAGGAAGATTATCAAGAATATTATTCCTGAAGAATGCAAAAAATCACTGCAAAGACAGGAGAAAGAAAAAGACCAAGATATGGATATCGGAAGAAATTGTAAATATTGCACTACAACACTGAAAAGCCAAAGGGAAGAAATCAAGACGAGACCCTCCTTATTGATGGCAAGACTGCATGAAGAAGTTTGGTACTCTTAGGAATCACGTTACCCGGCAGGTTACCAAAGAAGACTTGGCCACATTTGTTTATATACTGTGTGTGGATGAAAACCGTGAGAGATTGGTATAGAAGAGGTAACCAAGGTGAAATCTGCAAAGCTAAAATTGAACTACTTGGAAGCTATGATCAGTAAAACAACTTATTGAAGATCCCAATTAAGGGAATGACCCCAACATGGAGACTGTACCAGCAGTGTGTTAGGTGCTGCCAAGCCTTTTTGAAAAAGTCTCGTGAAAGCTGCATCCATTCCTTGCAAAAAGCTAACCAAGATGCATCTCTTTACAGTGATACTCTGTATCTTTTAAATCAGTGGATGTGCTATAGTGTTAAAATGTTCCATAGCTCAAGGCCCTAACTATATCTTCCATTTGTATCTTAAAAAATAAATGTGGCTGGAAATAGGTTGTGATTGGAAACAGAAGAAAGAAGACAAAAAAATTGAAAGAGAACGACTTGATGTTTTAATTTTGTGCTTCTATTATATGTGATTGTTGAGTCACTTCCTACCCATACAACAGCTATGAAGTCTGCCTTATCCTGAACCAGTCTGAGTCCTGCACACCTATCCCCGTTGCCCCAGTTAATTTATCTATCCATCTGATCCGGGGTCTTCTCTTCTGTGCTGTTCCTCCAACCTTCCAAGCATGATGTCCTTCTCCAAGGGACCAGTCCCTTCTGGTCATGTGCCAAAAGTATGAGTCAGAGCTTTAAAATCCTTTCCTCCAAGGAGGAACTTGGTTTTACCCTCTCCAAGACAGACTTTATTTGTTTTCTTGGTGGTCCATAGTATGTTCAAAGACTCTTCTCCAGCACCACAGCTCAAAGGCATCTATTCTTCTTTTGAGCTTAGTCATTGTTCAGCTCCCTGATGTATAGCAGGTAATTGGGAAGACCATGACCTAAATCAGGGGAACCTTAGCCTCTAGACTAATATGTGATTGCTAATAGAAAAGAAATCAGTCTGTCTTGGAGAGGGTGAAACCAAGTCTCTCCTTGGAGACTAGGATTTTAAAGTTCTGTCTCACATACTTTGGGCATGTGGACAGGAGAGACAAGGTCTTGGAGAAGGACATCATGATTAGAAAAGTGGGGGACAGGGCAGGAGAGAGAGACCCCGGATGAGATGGATTGATAACTATCCGGGGCTACAGGGGTGGGGGTTGGTTTGTCGGAATTATTCAGACCGGCTCAGGACAGGGAAAGGTTCAGAGGTGTTGTACATAGGATTGCTGTACATCACAGGAGACTCAATGGCATGTAACAACAACATACTTTTTTTTTTAAGCCTCTTTTAGAGTCAACAAGACCTCGGGAAGGGCCTTGTATTTAAAAGTCAGTTGTTAAATATATAATATGTATGGTATATATATGAATTTTGCAGGAACTTTCTTCTAAGTGGTACAGCACTCTTTTGTCAGTATGCTGTATCGAGGTAACCTGGGGTTGTTGTGATGCCGAAACTTGTGCCATAATGGTTACCCAGAGTGGACAGTGTTTGATGGCGCTCCCAGTTAAAGACAGGTTTGAAAGCAGGAGTGGCATCCACTTCCTAAACAACATTCCTCTGGAAATTCTTAGGAACTTTGATAAATATCAATAGTTGAAGAAAGGCTTGAGGTCTTTTGTTCATAGGGTTGCTGTTAATCATGCTCAACTGAACAGCAATCAACAACAATAGTAATGAATTAGTTTACTTTTCAGAATTATTCTCTGGTAAATTGCTGCTCCAACTTTGATATTCAAGTGACTGGCTTTGTACTATAAGTTGTTAGTCCTTCTTGACTTTTATTCTACCAAAGTGTACATTTTCTCTCTTCACTTGTCATGTATGGTTTATTACTGTGGGTTGGAAAGTTTACCTGTTGTGTGCAAGGCTGAACAAGTGAGAACCCAATATGGATCCTTGATGCTTAGGTTTGTTATAGCTCACCCCTGCAAACAAAACAGCATAAATGAATTTTTTAGTGACTTTTGAGTATCATGGTAAATTGATAAATATCTGTGGCATCTACTTCCTAAACAACGTGCCTCTGGAAACGCTATGAACCTTTGAGAAACAACCAGAGTTATAGAAAGGCTACAGGCCTTTTGTTCATTGGGTCGCTGTGAGTTATGCTAGACTTGGCGGCAGCCAACAGCAATCCCTTAGTAATTTCTTTTTAAATTATGGGAAGAGAAATCATCACCATTACCCAGTGTAGACACTTAAACTTAATATACCATTTAACTGAATAATTTTTAGTCCATAATTAAAGAAATTTCAGATTAAATTTTAACTTGGAGACAGATACTTTAAATATAAAGTTAACATAATGAGTACATCCATAGCACATTTTTTCTTGGATTCTAAAAATATTGATTGTGTGAATCTTACATGTCTAGTAAATTCAATCGAAAAATAAATTACCGTTGTCACATGAGATTGTCTCTTTTGTGGTAAAGAGTTACACTTCTAATCCAAAGGCTTTATGGTTCAGATCTACCAGCTGCTTCTTGGCAGAAAGAGGGGCACACTCCTCCTATGTGATTTAATGGTTCTGAAAATCTTGAGGTTTAGCTCTCAGTTGGTTCTGACTTGACAGTACAAAACATCATCACATTAGGCTTTTCAGAGACAGCTGAGAAAATCCAGCTTACTCCAGATGACATAGACTTTATTTTCAGGTATTCTTTTTTGATTTCTGGCAGCTAGTGACAAAGAATAGACTGTTTTCTTCAACTTCCTGAAGCTGCATCTGACATACTTTGGGCATGTTGCAAGGAGGGACCTGTCTTTGGAGAGGGCCATCATGCTTGAGATATGAAGGGGCAGCACAAGAGAGGAAGACACTGGATGAGATGTTTCAGTGACTGGAGTAATGGAATGGATGTGTCAGAGAGAAGATGGCCTCAGGATAGAGCAGAGTTCAGAGCTGTTGTACATAGGGTCACTACAAGTCACAAGTGACTCAGTGGCGCATAACAACAACAGTTAATGAAAGCTAGTTCTCTAGTAAAATTACTTGTATTGCTTTCTCTTGTTTTGTGGTTCATTAAAAAGAAATAGCAATAAAGATTATGTCTTTTTTAAAAAAGCTGTTTTTATTACACAGAGGCCTATTAGTGTTTGCCATCCAATTTAATTTGCTAGTTTATTTGGTAAAATGAATTAATAGACTTGCACAATTTAACTCATGCTGTTAATCATAACTTTTATTAATGAACTGTCCAGATTTGTATTTTATCTCTATTGAAAATTGTCTTTCTATATCCCTGAAAATGGACATTACTATTAATAGTTGTTTTAGGTGAAGAGAAAATCTATTTATAGCAGTATTCTCAAACATGATCTTAGGAGAGTCCTTCCACTTTAAAAATTAGAGAACATAATACCCTTCCTATTTTTAATATGCCAAACTTTTCCTATATCATCCCTTTTAAGTGACATAGAGTTGAGACATAGTTTTAAGTTGAGACAAAGAGTGCTTTCAGACCCCAAAAGGGATTTTGTGTGTGTATTCTGGTTTTTATTTTGTTGTGTTTTTTTTTTAAATATTCTCAGCATTTCACTCAATGTAGTGTGGAATTCATCCTAGCTGTGAAGCTAAATATTAGAATATCTGGTGCCTATTAAAACAGTAAGGCATTTGCTTTGTTGCTTTAATTCATTATCTTTAAAATTTCTATTAACTTACAAGACAGTAAATGACTGAATAGGAAGTTTTTTTGAGAGTTCTTTATAGAGGTTTTGCATTTTACTGTTGTTACGTGATTGAAATATTCATAATCTTTTATATGTATCCTGAAAATATAGTCTTATGTTTAGAGTCACTGGTGCTTTTGCAGAATAATTACTTGATTTTTAATTAGCTCTTAATCTGTGATATATCAATTCTTGTTTAACTTCTCTAATGCTTGCTGGTACAGTCTGTTTTGCAGTTGAGTTAAGTGGTGCTTCATTTCCCCCCCCCCCGCAACTGTTACTGTATGGTATTGATGGACCTCTTCATTTATTTAGCAAATGCTGATGGAAGTCAGGTGCTTCTCTGGGATCTGTTCTATTTGGGCTTCTAAATGGGTAGTGAAAACCTGTTGCTGCCAGGTTGATTCAAACTCAAGAGAAGGTAGAAGTTCCCGTAGGGCTTCCTATGGAAATAGAGTGTCACATTTTTCATAGTTCCAGGGCCTTTTGGTTCACAGCAGAGCTTAATCAGTGCTTCACCTATCCTCCTGGGGTAAAGCTACCAAAAAAAGTTGGTCTAAGCTTCTTTTACTTAAAATGATGCCTATCCTATCTCGCAAAGTTGTTGAGTCAGAGCTTCATTATGTAGTTCTGTCTTAGAATAAACTTTAGTATGTTTATACTAATTTGGGCATACTTACTGTTTTTGCATGGTAAAAGTCTTTATTTATTTATTTATTTATTTATTTATTTTTTCAGTTGTATGGAACAAGGAAAAAACTGCTTGGTTTTCTTTCTGTGATAATATGATTTCTAATATTTTGTTATCTTGTTCCAACAGATAACATTACTGCAGATGGAGCATAATTTTGATATTGTAAGTATATACTGGATTTGTAAAATCACTCCAGGTTTTCTGTTGACGTCTTTCATTCAGAGGAATACACATCATTCTTTTCTAGATGAACCATGCTTGCCGAGCCTTAACATACATGATGGAAGCACTTCCAAGATCATCTGCAGTTGTGGTGGATGCTATTCCTGTGTTTTTAGAAAAGGTACAGCAGTTACTAACTCAGCTTGTTCAGAAGCAGACTCTGAACCCTTGATTTATAAATTCTGGTATAGAATTTTAGAATCCATGCCCACTTAAGAGTTTCTACCCATTCTTTAACTGAGTCAGTCATGATTCCAGAAAAATACTTGATGTTTAGCAGACCCCAAGGTTAACAATACTAATAAATTTTTTAAATCAACCCATTTTTACACTTTTTGATATAAGTACAACTTCTCAGAGAAGAATTTAAGCCACTTGATTACAAATAATCTTATCTCTAGAAAATACCTCAATGTGTTTGATAGCTATCTGTACTCCCGTTCTACAGCTTCTTAAGAAGGTTATAGTAAGTTAGTAAAAAAAACACATTTTTTATTTTTAAAATTTTTTTTAAAACCCATTTTTTAATATGATCTGTAATACATTGTGGTTTTGGGTTATCCTACTTCCACAGAGAATAGTCCTTTTTCTCTTTAATGAACATTAACATTTGCATTGTCTGATAAACTTTTATTACAGTACCAAGTTTATATAATTAGATTTACATCATTGTAAAACAACCTGTTTATTTAAAAGAATTAAAGGTATATAAGTTAATTTCTTGTCCATGTTATCAAGCACCTTTTCCAGTATCTAAAGACAAAAAGATGTTTTGGTAGGAAAGTATGTTCGCTAGTTTTGTTCATACGCTCTCTTCCAGTGGGTTTCATGTTTCAGGCAGAAAAGATTGATGAGTTAAGATAAAAGTAAAAGAATATCTTAATTCATGTAGAAGGTAAAACTGCCAGAAAAGTGCAATAATGGTGACTCCTGTGTTTCCAGCTCCAAGTTATTCAGTGTATTGATGTAGCAGAGCAGGCCTTAACTGCCTTGGAGATGTTGTCACGCAGACACAGCAAAGCCATTTTACAGGCGGTGAGTTTTGTTACCAAAAAAACTCCATTTCAGAAGCCCTCTTCTAGATCTGCTTTTGAACTGACTAAAATCTAGATTGCTATCTCTGTAAGGTGTGCAGGGTATTTCCAAACTAAAGTGCTAAGCGCACTCTCTGTCTCTGTTTCTCTATAACTATTTATGTAATAGAGGGTCCTTTTCTCATTTTAATGTTTTTCTCTAGGGTGGTTTGGCAGACTGCTTGCTGTATCTGGAGTTCTTCAGCATAAATGCCCAAAGAAACGCACTAGCAATTGCAGCCAATTGTTGCCAGAGTATCACATCAGATGAATTTCACTTCGTGGCAGACTCTCTCCCATTGCTTACCCAAAGGCTCACCCATCAGGTAAAATAGGAACTGATTGATTTTATGTGTCATAAACCATATCTGTATTTCTTTAATTTTTGTTGTAAACCATTTTTATTTCTTCAAAAGGATAATTTCATCTGATGTTCTAAGAATTCTAGTTTTATATATAAATTATTCTGTCAGTATGACTTACCCTAGTCCTGCAGGTTATTTTAGAAAATCCTGTTTGATTTATCCAAAAGAACGTCAGTTTTTATTTTTGCTGTCTTCAACTGTTTTGACATTAAAAGATGAATTTGTTAGGCATAAGACCGTGTTTATTATGTGATGATAATATAAATTTCCTTTTGGAAAGATCATCCTTTGAAAGGCATTGGAATAAGCAGGCATGAATAGGAAGGTATGAATTAAGACCAGAAGTGAGATAAGACTGTTAGATGGAAACAATGAAGAAAAATGTAGACTCTCCATTGGGTTGACCCGTCTAAGAGGTAGACTTACTGTGACTGATGATGCATTAGGAGAAGCAGAGTACTTTGGGGGCGGGAAGAGCTTGTTAGATAAGTAAATGTCAAGCTGGCAGGGAATTGGGTTTAGGTTTTTTAAAACATAAATTAGTGTTTGGCAGTGATACTGCAGAAGACATTTTCAGATCCTTTTAACTTTAAGAAGAGTGCTTGGTGGCCTAGTGGGAAGTGGCTGTACTGCCATCCCAAAGGTATCTAGTTCTAGTCTACCAGTTCTTCCACAGGGCAAATTAAACTGCCTCTGAGAACTTGGTGGAGGGTCGGTCTGACTAGATGGTGCACAGCAACAGTACGATCCTTACAAAGCCGTTTAAATGCATGTAGTATTTTAAAATGTATGTATTTGATAGATGACATAGTAGATTATTATTGACTCTTTCTGGAGTATTTTGTTCTAAATATGTTTAGGGAGCTCTGATGACATAGTCCATGGAGGGTTTTGGCTGACCCTAATTGTTTCACCAGCTGATGAGGGGCGGTGATCAGAGATTGCATCCTGTGTGATTCACAGCCTCAGCTCTGAACTCCTTCCCACCCAGTGGCAGTGAGTTTTCCAAAGACGAGTATTGCCATTCATGGTTTCTTTACCTTTTTAAATTAATCAATTGATGGAGATAACCTTTTCTTTTTTAGACTCATGTCCTGTGGTTAACATATGATACCCATTTCTGAAAATCAGAAATGTACTTGACCACCATTATTTTAACATTGTTTTAGACTTAAGTCGTGATACCAAAAGGTATAGGATTTTTAAAAACTTTCACACAAATAATCTAATTTTTATATCAGCAGTCTCTTAGGTTAAAGAGACACAGGGTCTATCAAAATACTAGTTGGGTCTTAAAGTGTTCTTTCTGCTTTTAAGACATTTTAAATGTTTTATCAGTGAAATTACTTATATTTAATAGTGTCTTTACCTTTTTTCCCCACACTGTCACTGGTCTGTATACCTACCATAGAGTTGTTTTGTGCTGGCAAGTAAATTTTTTTTCTCTCATGGGAAATACTCTTTTGTTTAAATACTAAAATTATATAAACCATAAAAATGTTCCTGGCTTTTTATACATTTTCCCCTGTCTTTTGGGGACCTTCGTAGTGGGGAAAACTTAGCTGTGTAGCCCTCCTTTTTTGGTATCTTGATATTACTTGAGTGTATATATCAGTGCCCTGGCTAAGGCTTGTTTGCGTTGTCAAAGCTCACATCATATAGTTGAATTACCCTGGAAGAGTTTGCTTTTGGAACATTAAGTAGTATTGCATGACACTGAGCAGCTTTTATATTAATAACCTTTTCCCTTCTAAACAACAGGACAAAAAGTCAGTAGAAAGCACTTGCCTTTGTTTTGCACGCCTAGTGGACAACTTCCAACATGATGAGGTAAGCATTTCATACGTGTAATTATCCCCCCTATTAACTTTAAAATATATCTATTTAACTATTTAAAATAGTTAAATTGCTGAATTGCAGTGTAACGATTTTTTTTCCTCCCTTTTTGAAGAATTTGCTCCAGCAAGTTGCCTCCAAAGATCTACTAACAAATGTTCAACAGCTATTGGTAGTGACTCCACCAATATTAAGTTCTGGGATGTTTATAATGGTGGTTCGCATGTTTTCTCTGATGTGTTCCAACTGTCCAACTTTAGCTGTACAGCTTATGAAGCAAAGTAAGTGCTGTTTTTATTATTCTACCTCAAGCAGGAAAACCACCTTGCATTGTCCTTTAATACCTCAAAGTCACTGTACCATAAGCAAGTAATGCATTTACTAATATCACTGTTTGTTGCCATCAAATTGATTTCCGCTTCTGGCAGCCATGTGACAGTAGAACTGCTTCTTGGGATTTCCTAGGCCATTGTCTTCACTGAAGGAGATGACCAGGCCTTTCTCCCTTGAAGTTGCCGGTGGGATTACACAGTCAGCATTTTGGTCAGCAGCCTACAGTTCATCAGTGTGTCACCAGGGGTGCTCGATAAAAAAGAAGAAAATGTTAACATCTAATGAATTTGTGTTAGGATATTACCCTAAGTTAAAATTTAAAAAAAGCATAATATGTTCACTCATTACCCATCATGATTCTAGGGCTAACAATTTAGTGTTCTTATTTTCTGTGCAGTGTTAATTACATAGTTTTTGTTCATTGGAGAATTAATTTTACTACCAATAACTACCTGCTTTCTGTTCATCGGCAGTTCTTTATGTCCGTGTCATAATTTCATTATATTCATAGTATTGGGTTTCAGAACCTTTTCTTCCCTTAGAATGATAACTCATTCTCATAGATGATGAATGCCTTCTGATCTTTACTCCTTACATATTACTAGACTTTCCCCAGCCTGACCCAGTGAACAAGTTCATTTACAGTTTAGCATTCTTTCTTAAACTTTGGGCTCACAAGTTCATGTCCTAGAATGCGGTGGGCTTCACATCATTTTTAAGGTGTGTTATTTCCATCAGAGTACTGATTACTTTTATATTGAATACCTATAACCATATGTAATTTAATACACACAGTTTTTGATCTGAGGTAATTTCCTTGAGAGTCTGTGATGGTATTCATTAACAAAATAGTCACACAGTGTCAGACAGAATATTAAACGGCAGGTCCTTAAGAGTTAACATTGAGTTCTTTCTGAGTTTGCTACCACCATGGCAACAGTGAAGAAGCCTGTGGCAAAGAGGGGTGGGGAGGAAAGCAGGGACTGGAGGAGATATATTGATTGTACCTGTCTATAGAAGGTGGAATCGTGGCTGAAGCTAATTTTGAACAGTTTGTTCAAGGGGAAAAAGTTCATGGGAAAGCTAGCAATACTGGTAAAGATCTTCAAGAAAGAATCATAGTTCTTGGGAAAGCTGGTAACAACAGTAAAGAAAAGGAAGTGAGCCAGATAATGCTAACCTCTGAGGCTATTTCCAAAAGATAACTTGAAACTACCTCACCAGAAAATAGTTGAGGAAAAAGAATCTATATTATTGGTTGCACGTTGTTGCTAATAGCAAAGAAAGTGAATTAACTACCAGATGAACCAGAATGAAGAAGAGGAAGATGAGGATTAAAACTAATTTATCTCAAACATTAAAATTAATTTATGTCAGATATTTTATGCAAGCCCTTAAATTAAACATGGGAACCAAAAAGAAGAAAAAAGATATTAATATTGACACACATTATAGTTTGTTGAGAGGCTTGCTCTTCCAGCTTGGAGTCTTTTCCAAGCTTGCTGTTCTGGAGAACAGAACCAAGGCTGAAGTACTTGGGGAGGGTTGACTCCATTAGTCACAGTGCATCTCCTTATTCAGCTTCTTATCAGTTTAAGAAAAATGTGTAGTGAATTTTCATTTAGGGGTAAATGATACATTGAATGTCATTTTCCTACAAAGCACTGTTGTTCTCAAGGAAAGTAAGAATCCTACCGTTTCTAGGGGAAGACTGAGGAACTTGTGATTAAGAGGCCAGTTAGAGTTGAGCTTTTAAAGTTCTTAAGAAACCATGAAAGTGCTCTTTTTTGGTCAGTTTTCATTAAAATTAACCTGGAGTTTTTCTTTTCATGTCTGTCTGTATTACATGGACTAATAGAAAGTCATTCTGATGCTTTCCTCCCTAGCATTTATTTTTGTCTTTTTTTTGCATTAGATGCTATAATTAGTTTAATGGATTTGGGTGGTGGTTGTTGGTTTTACAGACATTGCAGAAACACTTCACTTCCTCCTGTGTGGTGCCTCCAATGGAAGTTGTCAGGAGCAGATTGATCTCGTACCCCGGAGTCCTCAAGAGCTGTATGAACTAACATCTCTGATTTGGTAACGATTAAGCTCATAATAACTTTGTGATTCATGTGAGGCATATTTCACAAAGGTTCAGGAGCCCACTTACTAAAATGATGATACTTCCCTCTCCCCTTTTTTAGCGAACTGATGCCATGTTTGCCGAAGGAAGGCATCTTTGCCGTAGATACCATGCTGAAAAAGGGAAACGCACAGAACACAGATGGTGCAATATGGCAGTGGCGTGATGATCGGGGCCTCTGGCATCCCTATAACAGAATTGACAGCCGGATAATTGAGGTAGTAGTTTCATCGTACCATTTAAATGAGAGAATTCTGGTGGATTGTAGGGATAGGGCTGCAGCAGGGAGGTGATTATGTGTATGTAAATGTGCTCAGGATTGAATTAACTGAAGATTTTCTCATTTTGTCTCCTGAGAACAAGGTCCTCGTTTCTGTTCAGGTCAGAAAACATGATGTTCTAAGTCCTGCTTCTGCTGCTAACGACCTGATAGACTTGGAGCAAGTAATTTAAATCCTTTGTCCCACAGCTTTCTTCTTTCCACACAGCAGCATGGGCAGAGTTAAGCATTGCGTTGCTGCAAGTCCTTTCTGTTTCCTCCCCAGAAGTCGTCTGCCAGGCACAGAGTTCACCTGTACATAGTGTCTTCTCAGTAATTTTAAGAATGAAATCAGTTATGGTATTTAGTTACTACTTAGGCTTGTATTTAATTATTGTGTTAATGAGGAACAATAGAAAACGATGAATCTTTTGAGAACTCAACCAATATAAAAGAAAATGCAAAATTTTAAGAGATTTTCCACAACAGTCTTCAGTTTGACTTTTTCCCCCCCTCTTATTTCCATACTTTAGTATAAAGTTGACACTGGAATACGGTTTTTAAAAGTTCTCGGCACATTTTTGGCTTGTTTTAGAAAGTGTTGGTCATTGTATGATTTGAGATGTCATGCATACATTTTCAGTATACCACATACCTGTGGGTCTGAAGTACATTTTATAATTTCATTCTCGGATTCACATTTCTTATGTAGACATTATTCTTTAATGCTGTTTGTGTTTGTGTTTTTTGTTTTTTTTTTATTTCACTTGATCACTAACCAGAATATCGGGTTGAACCCAGTCAGAGGCCTCTTGGAAAGATGACTTGGTTCTCTACTCCCAAAGGTCAAAACCTTAAACACTCATAAAACAGTTCTGTTGGCACATGCGGGTCACTTTGATTCACTAACTGGCTGCTGTTTTTAATGATAGACTACTATCTATAAAAGAAAAAAAGTATCATTTCCACCAGTTAGGGTCTCACCAGTTCATTTCTAAAAAGAGGGGTTTGGTGCCCTACAGGTTAGAGAATTGCACTGTCACCCCAGGGCAGGTGGTTTGAATGCACCAGCTTCTCTGAGAGAAAGATAACCAGTCTACTTATTCCATTTACAGCCTCTGAAAACTCATTGGAGGGTCAGTTCCATGATGGTTCCAATTTGATGACAGAGATTTTGTAAAAGTTTTAAACTATTGATTCCCATTATAAAACAAGAATTCCTGAGGAGTGAGAAATCGAAATTCTGAGTTATGTTTTGTGAAGGAATTAACTTTTGGCTGTTTTGTTCATTAATGTCAAGACTAATAAGGAAGCAGTGTATTAGCAGAACCATCATCTGTAATCTGAGTGGTGTTCTTCATAGTAGTTGTTCATTAATTGCATCTTCACCATTACTTCCTGTCTTTTGTTGGTGTGGTTAGGTGCTGCCCAGTCAGCTGGACAGCACAGAAATTCCCTGGTTTGGACTTTGTAATAGAAATGTGTATTCTGTCAACTTTTCATAGACTCTTAAAATCTTAACATATGCTAGACACGCACAGTGAATTATTGCTTTAGTGCTAAGTTGTATTTTAATATTGGGGTGCATTTAAATGTAAAATCTTTTTGTTGACCTAAAGATAGAGGAAGACATTAGTAGATTGCTACCAAGCTATCTTGTAATAACTAACCTTTGTGAATTTTTCTCTCCCAATTTTGATATCTCAGCAGCACCTTAAAAATCCTGAACATAAATGCATTTGTATATATGCCTGAGTCTGTCTTCAGAATTTTGCCTTATCTTTTTGCTTCACAGTTTTGACTTCTAGATGATGATGATGATGATATTATTACATACTATTGAGTTGAGGCCGACTCATAGCTGACCCTCATGGGTTACAGACACAATAAATTATGAGATAGGAGCTTGCCCATCTTTCTCCTCAGAACAGCTGGTGTATTTGAACCATGTCCCTTTAGGTTGGCACCTGAATTCCTTACCACTAAGCTACCAGAGCTCCCTATGAGTATGTTAGGTGCCATCAAGTTGGGTATGACCCATAGCCACCTTATGAACAACAGATGTACCAATCCTGTCCTGTTAGAGCCTATTACTACATCATTGTGTCAGTCCACCTCGCTGAGGGTTTTCCTCTATTTTGCCAATCCTTCCCCTTTCTAAGCATGATAACCCTCTCCAAGGAATAACCTCTCCTAGCAACAGGCCCAAAGTATGTGAGACAGAGCTTTATCATCTTTGCTGCCAAAGACCACTCTGGGTGCACTTCTCCAAGACGTCTGTTCTTTTGGCAGTCCATGGGATAGTCCATACTGTTCTCCAACATCATAGCTTAAGGCATCAGTGCCCTTTTGGATGTGTGTTTAATTCAGAATTATGTGTTGAATGAATGAGTTTTGTTATAGCTACTCTACTGAGATACTCAATGGTCTGTAATTGCACTATCTGTAATGAAAACCCTGCAAAAAATATATATAGATGGACATTTATGGCAGGTCCCATGTGTGTTGCATTTCTCCATGTTTATATTCAAGGTTTCTCTCTCTTTGCTCTCAGGCAGCCCATCAGGTCGGTGAGGATGAGATAAGCTTGTCCACTCTGGGACGAGTTTATACTATTGATTTTAATTCTATGCAGCAAATCAATGAGGACACGGGAACAGCACGTGCCATTCAGAGAAAACCTAACCCCTTAGCCAATACTAACACTAGTAAGTACCTTTTGAATCAGAAAGTGTTCTTACTGTCACATGAGTAATTTGCAATAAGTATTTTATTTGTTGAATATCTTTATTATACTGATGTAATGCCAAAGGCATTAGGGTAACACATGTAGGTTACAGAAATACATTAACATGTCATTTCTAAAAATGAGTGATTGACTTTGTTTCTCAGAACCTGTTTTACTGGCTTTAGAGCTTGATTTTTTTGTCGGTTACCTTTTTCCTTCTATGCAGAGTGGCAAGATCTTACTTTTCCCCAGCTTTTCCTGAATGTACATTTGTAAAATTACGAGGTCATAATGCCTTACTCTCTTGAGGAGAGATATTGTGTTTTGTTTTAAATAATTATTTTGTAAACCAAAGTTGATTATATTAAATATATTCCTGTTACAGCATTTTAGAAAGTTACCCTGATTAATTTAAAAGTTTTTTGTTATTTACTATTTTCTGAAGTCTGTCTCCATTTTCCATTACAGGTGGATATTCAGAGATAAAGAAGGACGATGCTCGAGCACAGCTTATGAAAGAGGATCCGGAACTGGCTAAGTCTTTTATTAAGACATTATTTGGTGTTCTTTATGAAGTTTATAGTTCCTCAGCAGGACCTGCGGTCAGACATAAGTGCCTTAGAGCAATTCTTAGGATCATTTATTTTGCGGATGCTGAACTGCTGAAAGATGTCCTCAAAAATCATGCTGTCTCAAGGTGTGTTCATGAAAACTGTCATGTTTTCTACATGGAAACCTCTTTAAACTGCTAAAATACAATAGAAAAAATAAGTAAGAAATAGTTCATTTGAACTATGGATTCCTTTTGGTCTGTTTATACTCACTCAGCTTTGATAAATAATGAAAAAATGTGTTTAAGAAAAGTTTTTGTTTGATTCAGTGACTACATAAAATATTTTGCTCTTACAGTCAAAGTACTATGGCCAAAAGCAATTTCCAATTTGAGACCATGATTTCTATATGGAATGCTTTCTTTTTTATAGTCACATTGCTTCCATGCTGTCAAGCCAAGACCTGAAGATAGTAGTTGGAGCACTTCAAATGGCAGAAATATTAATGCAGAAGTTACCCGATATTTTTAGTGTTTACTTCAGAAGAGAAGGTAATGTCATTCATGATCATGCATCTGACGCCGCTGTTTTAGTCTAAATAGTACTTCAGTACAAGTCATTTTTATCTGTAGATCAAAAATTAAATTGCTGTCTCTATTCTGAGATAACTAAACATGCTTCCAGGCTAAAAGATTCAGTGTGTCCTTTTAATCTGTTATTACAGGTTGTAACACTCAGTATCAGCTGGGAAGCACTTGATAAAGTTTCAGTCATTCTAGTTTTTATGGGCCAGAGAATAAAGTTTTTATCTAGGTAATAATTTGGTGCTATGAAGAAGATGCTTTGAAACAACTCAGGTGCTACTGTCCATAGGTAGATGTGTCTAGTGATAAAGTGCTTGTACGTAGTCATGTAGTCACATAGGTAATGGCATACCTAATTTGAGGCATTTGAGCCTAAGAGACCTGATAATTTTCCATTCTGGAAGACCTCACAGTTCAATTAGGTGCTGTGTCAGTCTAAGCCTGTTTGGCAATTACCTATTTGATTTAAATACTTGGATCAGTAGAAGCCTTTTTTTATCACCTTGGCCTGTGGAACTGGTGGCCGTTTCCCTTTCTACAGATCGGCAGGGAGTTCTGGTTACCCAGTGGGTGAGGAGTTGTGGTTTTATCGTCTACCTTGTTCACTTTTTTGAAATCTGATTGACACCTTTTCTTGTGGTAGATAATTTATTGGACATACTAAGGAGGTTTTTCACTAAAATGACTCAGAACGTATTCAGTGCTGTAAATTTGAACTGACACAAGCTGAGCCTCCAGCATTGTCTGAGACAGTACATTGTGTAGCAGGAGGTTGCCCATCCTTCTCCCGTGAAAATGCTAGTGGATTTGAACTGCCACAGAGGTGTTACCGTGGAGTTAGCACCGTTTCCTACAGACTGTCCCAGTAGAGGATGAGGATTGTTTTAATCCACTAGTATAAATTTTGTTTCTTATTTTTGCCTTTCTCCAGTGGCCAACGCCAAGTAGTGTAAAAGTAGATGAAATGACTATACTAATTTTTTCTGCAGTTTTAATCTGTGTTTTGCATTCCGTATCTTTTTATGATGTACCACTGCTCCAATCCCCCAAGAAAAAATAGCTGGTCCACCATTCTGTTTAAAAGTTTATCAGAGTCCATCTCTTCACAAAGCAGGGTTTTTGGTTTTTCATTCTTGAATATGTTGGATGATCAGCTGCCATCAGATTGAATTTTTCACACCAAACCTATTTCTGTAGCACCTACAATCTGAAGTTTAAGGAACATATTGATTGGTTATGCTGTCGGCCTCTATAAATTATAAATTCTGTTACTCTTTCAGGTATTCTTTAAAGGCCTCCAGTTCCTCCACACCCTTCTTTCTGCTCTAGAATAGATCCTCCCTCTTTGTTCTGTGCTTAAGTTCATTCTTAGGTCTTTTTTTTAAAAAAAACATTCTTTTTGTGTGTTTATTTAAAACTAATAATAAAAATGTATTTGAATACAAATACATTTCTATTACCATATTTGCGTATAATTTGCATAAACCTTTTGCACATACCTTTGGGGTTTGATAGTTCTTAGATGCACTTCCTCTTCTATAGATCCTCCGCCTACCATACATGGCTCTTAAGAACCATAAATAACACAAGAGAAGATTATCCATCTGGAACTGTTGCGTTCAGACCACCAGAGAGGTGTCACTTTTGTAGGCAGCTACTAACTAAATGGTTGATATTTCAAACTCTGCAGTTACACCACCAGAGAAGGAGGTGGCATATACTTCTCGAAAGGATAGCCTTGTAACCCCTATGGGACATTTCCACTCCATACTATAGAGTCACTGTCCATCATCATTGATTCAAGGGTGTTGAGGTATTTTGGGGTTGTGCACACCTCCAGCTATGTGAACCACTAAAGCCTGAAGCTTGCATTCTCTTTTGGTGGCCGCTTTATCATGGTCTTGTGTCTTTGTGGCACAGATGTTTACCAGTAATTCTAGTTCTTCCCTACTCACCCCTTTTTTTAAAAACTGATAAGCTAGTCACTGTATTTCTGTACTTGATCACATAGTTCTTAAGCATATTTTGAACTTCAAACAGGATTTTACTTAAAATCTTAATAAACATTTCTGACTGAAGTCAACTGGAGAACTCTGGCTTTCTAAATATTTTCCGTTATTTGCCTGTCATTTTATCACTGTTCCCTGTGATTGAGTTAGCATTTAGGTTTTTACTTGGTGACTTTGATTAAAACTGCTTCTTTCTCTGTTTCTGTGAAGGTGTGATGCATCAAGTGAAACACTTAGCCGAGTCCGAGTCTCTGTTGACGAGCCCACCAAAGGCTTGTGCGAATGGATCTGGGTCATTGGGGTCCACGACATCTGTCAGCAGTGCCACAGCACCGGCTGCCACCAATGCGGTGGCCGACGTGGGGTCCCCCAGCTTGCAGCACAGCCGAGATGACTCTTTAGATCTGAGCCCTCAAGGGTGAGTGAGAGGTTTTCTCTTTGTGCTTTTGCCCTGTTTCTGCCTTGCTGTTTGAGGATTCGCACAGGAAATAAAAGGGATGAAACTGTGTACATTTTCTAGGTTTTTTTATCCTATGTTAAACAAGAAAAGGAGGTAAAGCTCACCCATTGGAAATTGCTTATATTTGCACACTTGAAGCTTGTTGTCCCATCTGGTGAACAAAGGAACAGGGTTCCCTTGTGAAGGGAATTGACAAATGCTTTCCTAGGCTAAGTGCATCTGAGAGGAGGAGATGTCTGTTAACTACCTTTGGCTCCTTGGCATCTTCTTCTGGTGTCGTGGTGCGGAAGCGTTAACCATACCTTCTTGTTGATAAGTAAACCTCTCTCTGTTTCAATTTATGGTTTGAAAATTCAGTGTTGCTGTATGTATGGTACCTTAGGAGGCCCTGGTGCCATAGTGTGCTGAGCATTGGACTGCTTACCCAAAGGTCTGTGGGACAAACCCAGCAGGCAGTCTGGGAGAAAGAAAACAATCTACTCCCCAAAAGACTTCCTGCCTACAAATCCCTCTGAAGCCGGTTAGTCTGCTCCCTGGCGTTACTGAGAGTTGCAGGACTTGAAGGCTGTCAGTTTAGTGGGATGATTCCTGATGATCCAAACTCAGTTCTGAAAGAGTACTTTAAATCCTTGAGTTTTACACCTTCTGAGTAGAAAATCGGGTGTTGGCAAAACACAGTAATTACTCAGTAAGTGGGCTCCAGAGATACTCTCCCAACCTGGAAGTGGCATTCCCCTGTCTGGTACCCTGCTTTGTGGGAGGGGATTCTTTTCCAAGGCGCAGACTCCTATGGTTGCAACTGGCAGTAGTTAAAAAGGAGTTTGGATATTTGTGTGGCTGGCTCTCATTCCTAGAGGTTGTTGGGTTTAGGCGACGTCTGTGTCAATAGCCAGGGTGCAGTTTACTCTGGAGAATGGAGAAGACTTCCCTATACCTCATCGCAGAGTTGCAAAGGAAAGCCTAATGTTGCTTTTCCTTTTAAAGATTAAATTATTTCCTTCATAGTTTTGTTTAGCTTGTGGAATTGTTTGCCCTGATTGTCAACCACATATCAGTACTTTCCACTACAAATATTATAGTTCTCAAATTTTAATTGGTGCAGACCATTTGAACGAGATGATTTTTCATCTTAGGCGGTTTTGTTATCCTGTGAGCTGTTTAAATATTTTAAGAATAATGAAAGAAAAACACACACAAAGGCTAACAACCGTATTTTTTATAGGGAGGTTCACAGTGTGGCTCCCATTGTCATTCACTGTATTTATTTATAGGCTCTTTTTGTCTTAAAAGCAAAGTTTGTCATTTCCACCACCAAATCCTGAAATTACTTTGGCGTAAATACAAACAAGCATTTTCAAAATCCTGAGAATGCATGTATATTTTACCTGTTGCTGTTTTCATCAGTGAAGATGTACGATACTCTGATTTAGCATATCTTTTTTTTGGTTGGTCATTTCTTGCTACATCAGTGTTATTTTAGTGTATATTTCTGCACCTTTCTAAATTTTATCCTACAGCTTAATGCATGCAGAATTAACTGTACTTTTTTATTCTAAGTAGTGCAATATAGTAAAATGTTTATTTTCTGAGTTACCTTTTTTTGTATCTTTGCACCTCTAGAGCATGGCTTGCACAGCACTAAATAGTCACTCATGGGAAATACTCTGTTATGGCAGTACTTTGAAATTAATAGTTTATGCTGTATTAACTTTGTTTTCAGTGAGTAATAGTGTTAATGCAGTGCTCAGTGCTAAAAAATTTTTTTTTTTTGTGACAGTCGATTAAGTGATGTTCTAAAGAGAAAACGGTTGCCCAAACGAGGGCCAAGAAGGCCCAAGTACTCACCTCCCAGGGATGATGACAAAGTAGACAATCAAGGTAACTGGGTAGGAGAAGGGGGCGTGGGAGGGGACTGGTGTCCACATAGAGAAGTCAGGAAAACCACTAGTGGCTATGCAAATGACTGTGTTCTGAATGTTAACTACCCTTTATCATTTCAACCAATGAGGATTGTGAATAAAAATTTTAAGGGTTATTTAGGGAAAAAATTAATGTGTGGGTTTTTGTTAATTATTAATTTTAATGAAAGTTTAGACTTTGAATTTCCATTTATTCATTGTTGCACTTACCTCCCTGCCCACCCCTCCTCCCCAGTTTGCTCTTCTCTTTGGAAAATAAAAGGAAAATTCTTTCATTGTTAAACAATCCCTCCCCCCAGGTCCATGCCACTATGAAGCCTTCATTCTGGACTCCTGTTATGACAATAATACCTAATCACATATCCCTTTTTAAACAGTTCTTTCCCTCATCTGTTTCAGTGCAGTATACATTATTTATGCCATCTTTCTCAGTCTCCCACCCAACCCCAGTGTCAGTCCCTTTTTACAACAGTGGCACTATGCAATATTTGTCCTTTTGTGACTGAGATATTTCCCTCAGCATAATGTCCTCCAGGGTCCCTCATTTTGAGTAGTATTTCAAGAATTCCTTGTTTTTCAATGCAGCATAGTATTCCATTGTGTGAATATACCACAGCTTCTCTGTGCATTTGTTTGTTGATGGACACTTAGGTTGTTTCCAACTCTTGGCTATTGTGAACAAAGCCGCTATATATATATGCAAAGTGTGCATGTATCTGCTTGGGTGGCAGTTATGGTTTCTATGGTGTATATTCCCAGTAGTGGAATTGCTGGGTCAAATGGTATCCCTATTTGCAACTTTTTGAGAAAGTACCATACTACCTTCCATACTGGTTGCACAAAAAAAAAGTTTTAATAATACAGGTTTATAGCTCATTTGTAGAATGCTTATGCAATACATCTTACAGGAAATTTTTTAAATTCCTATAATTCTACAATGCAAAAAATAAGCACTGTCAATTTTGGGGAGTATCTGCCAGTATTTTTCCTTTTTCCCCACATATGAAGTTGAAACCATTTTGTATGATGTTACAGCTTTTAGCTTTAAAGAAGGTATTAGTGTTTCCTATATTGCTTCTAAAGGGTAACCATAATAAACATTAATATTGTTCTGTCTTGAAAGATTTTTTAAGAGAGAGAGTGTGTGTGTGTGTGTGTCTGTCTGAAAACAATTTAACTGCCACTTCTTTTCCTTTTTGTAGCTAAAAGCCCCACTACAACTCAGTCTCCGAAATCATCTTTCCTGGCAAGCTTGAATCCCAAAACCTGGGGAAGGTTAAGTGCACAGTCCAACAGCAACAACATTGAGCCCGCACGGACTGCAGGTGTCAGTGGTCTTGCCCGCGCTGCCTCCAAGGACACCATAGCCAATAATAGGTAAGGGGGGAGCGTGTCCCATCTTCTGTCACTGTCTGAACATGTAGCCTTATTTTAGTCGGCATCTTACTTGGAGAAGAAATGTGTTAAAGCTTTGATTTGTATTTTGAAGTAGAAGAACTTAAAGATAAGATGGATTCTCAGTTGTTAAGTGCCATGTCCGACTCAAACAAAGCAAAGTCTGTGTGAAAGACAACTTTCCCAGCTGTAATGTCTGGGGGCTCACAACTCTAGGGTCTTTCCCCCATGTGTTGCCTCGGCTGAGTTTGAACCAGAATTTTTCACTTAGTGGTTGAGCCACCAGAGCCCCTTAACATCTACTTTTCCCCTCCGTAAATTTCCTTTAGAGCTTAAAACACCTTGGACGATCTCTAGGTGGCACATATAATTTAAAACCGAACATGTTATGATTCCTGTGGTTCCTGTTACTTAGTTTTCTCTGGACAAAGACGTAACAGATTTTTATGAAACTTTTCTGCAGCCATTAAAATACAGTTGTACACCAGAACTAAGCTTTTCAGCGTCACTGTCAGCCTGTATGTTGAGCAGATAATCCGACACCCTCATATGATTGAAGAGTGTGGACCAAGATTTGAGGAAAGAGGAATTAATAGCCTTGCTTAATGAAAGCAAAGATGTCACTTTGAGGAAACAGTGCACCTGACCCTTAGCCTTGGTATTTTCAGTCACTTTCTATTCGTGAAAGTATAAAATAAAAAATAACTCATGCTTTTGAATAAGGTGGTAGTGGTGGTGCTGTATGTCTTTGAGTCACAACTGATAGCTGACCCCCCAGCAGTTATCAGAGGCAGTTTAATCGCACAGGAGGAGTTTGCCCATCCTTGTCCTACAGAGCATTTGGTGGCTTCAGACTCTGTTTCTTCAGGATTGCAGCGGCACAGCTTCTTAGCACTAGGCGACCAGAACTTCCTTTCAGTAAAGTGTTAGAGATTAATAATGAATGTATGATCAAGTCCCAGAAGAAAAAACATGTCTCTTTGAGGGGAAAAAAATTACATCCGGAAGTTTCCTTAGCAGGGAAGATGGCAAGTGCTTTGGACATGCTATCAATAGGGACCAGAACCTTAACAGGACATACAGGTTGGTAGAATGCCATCGAAGAACAAGAACACCCTCAATGATAAGGATTGACATTATTCGTTCAAAGACAATTATTTTTGTTATGACTCAGCTAGTGTTCGTAATGAGCTTGGGATTACTGTGAGCTGGAACCAGCAGTGGCAACATAGCAGCAACAACACATTGGCCCTAGAATTTAATATTTTAGAACTTGAGTCTCTCTCTAAACAGTTTGGTAACATTTTTAAAAATAATTGCCTTTTAAAATTGTTGTGATTAGTTTTGTAATACTCCTTTTGTAAATACATAATAGAAAAATAACCAATAAATGTCTTCGGGGAAAATAGGGGATCTTGGGGTTTTGTTATTGTTTTTAATTGAACTGGTTATTTTTCTGAATTTTGCTTAATAAAAAGTAACTCAGTAAATATCTTCATAAGGCTAGTGGAATTTGTTTAAACAGCTGGGCCTTATGTTTAGAGCTCTCTTGTAGGTGTGTTTGTACTTGAGAAAACAATCAGAAATGATTCTCAGTTGAGTGTGTAGGAAACTACCTTTGTAAGGTCTCAGAAGCTAAAACATTGTTTAATTAATCTAAAATCCACTTATTTCTGATGCATCGTAGATAATTCTTGGAATGAAACTTTAGTATGGAATCTGAATGTGTATAGTCTGTCTAGATTGAGACAGAACCCCAAAACAGTAACGACTTGCTTTCCTTAGATCAGCTGGCAGTCCTTTGTCCACTAATACTTCAGTGTCTTCCCTTTTCCTTCTTGCAGAGAGAAAATTAAAGGTTGGATCAAGGAGCAGGCACACAGGTTCGTGGAGCGCTACTTTAGTTCTGAGAACATGGATGGGAGCAACCCCGCATTGAACGTCCTGCAGAGACTCTGTGCTGCGACCGAACAGCTCAACCTCCAGGTACTGGCTCCCAGGCCTGCCTCAGACAGGAAGTGTGTCAAGGTTCCTTCTACTGTCCTCTCTTCAGTCCTGATAGACTCTCTTGTTCGTAAGGACTTTAAAGCCCTCCCTGGATCTTGTGCACACAGACTGGTTTGGTTTTTTACCAAATATGTATTACCATTACTGACATTTCTTTATTTCTCCCCCAAGTACCATGGTTCATCACTTTGAAAAGTGGTGTTGAGTCTCTTCAGATTAAGGTGACCCTCCATCCAGTTTCTCATGTTGTAAATCTTTACAGGAGGATGTTGATCTTGATCCTGAAGAGCGACTAGTAAATTTGAACTGCCAGCTTTTCAGTCAGCCCAGTGCACTGTACTGTCAGGGTTCCGTCTCAGTAAATATCCTAGAAATGTCACTTAAGTGTGCCGCATCTATTTTGAGTCCTTAAGATTCGCTATTACAGTCAACTAGACTCTTGAACCTCCTTTCCCAGCTCATGGTCATCGGGAAGAACCGAGGCATGAATTTAATAGCTAGGAGGGGTGTTCTGCTTGCTCAGGTTTTGTGAACCTTTCCCCGCTACTTTAATGAAAACTCCACTGGTTGAATAGAAATACTCTTCTTTGGATACATCATAAATTATTGGGTTTTCCCCCCTATTCTTCATAAGGAAATGTGGATTGTGTTTCCTAAGTGCTGTTTAAATCAATCTAGAAATTCTATTCTCTGCTCTTTCAGGTGGATGGTGGAGCTGAGTGCCTTGTAGAAATACGTAGCATAGTCTCAGAATCAGATGTCTCGTCATTTGAAATCCAGCACAGTGGGTTTGTGAAGCAGCTGTTGCTTTATTTGACATCTAAAAGTGAAAAGGATGCTGTGAGCAGAGAAATCAGACTAAAGCGGTTCCTTCATGTCTTTTTTTCTTCTCCTGTAAGTCCTGTAATCTTGTCTATCGCATAGTAAGAAGCATTATTGACTAATGTGTGTATTCTCACTGTGTTGCTGATGTCTAGTAGCCATTGGTCAAGGTCTGTGGAATGCTTCCAGCTTGCTTATTTACAGTTGGATTCCTTGAATAATCATTAAGTAATTAGTGATCCGACAAAGCCATGGAGCCTGTCTCACAGTTTTGTGTTTAAATTGTCTTCCCCTCAAGACATTAATATTAGTCCCACTTGTTGTATTCTCTGCTGAATGTGTTGAACTCTAAATGTTTGTTTTTTAAACTATTGTTGGTTTGTGTTAAGGAAAGTCAGTGTAATGGTAGATAAAAGATAGCCTGAGTATGCTGCGTCTTAAGGCCAGAACCCTTGGAATGTTTCCTTCTCACCACAGAGGGTCGAGGCAAAGGAGGAACTGCCTTCAAGATGGAGGGTCCATGTATAAATAGTAACTCTTTTTATACTGTAGTAAACTGTTCCAAATCAAAATTAAAATGCTGCTTAAACTCGAATGAAAAAATCACACTATTTTGAAATAAAGTTAACGAAAAAGAGACACCTGCAACTTAGCAACATTCTGCTTGTTTATAAATGCTTAAGAGACAGAAGGAAACCCAAGGGAGGTGTCTTTGGATTATGTGTGTAACACAGGATAAACCTCCCTTGTTGGAACTACTTCAAGACCTTCAGTGTTGAAGGCATTTCAAAACTACTTGGATCTATAAGGCTACACAAAGTAGGGGGTTCGTTAGATTAGTGATGGCCTTGGGTATTTTTTTATGTGACACTTAAAAACATGTAATTGATAGAAGTCAGTAATTTTTTCTTTGAAATCCTTGGAACCGGTTGTGTTTTAGGAGTTGGGAAAAGATTACGCATCATCCTCATTGTAATCTGAAAAACAGTTTGAATCAAAGGTCTTAGGTAGCTGTAAAAGGAGCAGACAGAACACGGGGGAGGCAGAGTATTACTTCTGTCTGCATCATAAAGGGGAACTTTAGGGTATTACATTTTGAGTGTTACGAATCTGGTATTGTGGACCTGTACAATTATATTGAAAAAATTTATCTAGAACCATTTTTCCAACTAAAATGGTTGTATGGTCTCCTTTAATCTCTTAATGGAGATTTTGTTGAAGAGTATTTGGTTTTCACAAGGCCTTGTTTAACCTCTTGGTTAATCTATCACTTTAGCTTCCTGGAGAGGAGCCCATTGGGAGAGTGGAGCCAGTGGGGCATGCTCCTTTGTTGGCATTAGTTCACAAGATGAACAACTGCCTCAGCCAGATGGAGCAGTTTCCAGTCAAGGTGCATGATTTCCCCAGTGGTAATGGGACAGGAGGCAGGTAAGGACCTGGACCTGGCCGTTCTCTGGCCACTGGGAGCTGGGAGCTTTTTTGCGGTAAAACGCAAGAAGTCTACAGAAGTTTTACTCAGCCCAACAAAGAGAAATTTGTCTCAGGTTTATACATTCTTTATAAATTATTTAAAACTTCCCGTGCATATGGATAATAGTTTCTTCAAATTATGTACATAGAGGTCGTATCGTATGTGCTGTAAGTGGCCATGTGTTTTCATGATTTTTTTAACAAGTACGTGTTTCTTTTAAAGCCATAATGATTAAGTCACACACAACTGGGGCCCTGCCCCGCCCCCACATGTAAAAGCTTACAGTAGGACTCATGTAAAATGATAATGAAAGAATTTATGGCAATTTTTTTTACACTATTAATAACCTTTATGAAATATTCTGGCTAGAATCCTAGAAACCTTGACTGTGCCTTTAAAATGGAAAATTTGAGTCTTTGAACTGCATTTAAATCCTACGCATTGGTGAATAGATATGGGAACCCTATTAGTGAATTTATCTTCCTCCTCCCTCCAGCTTCAAAATTTAATGTAGACTTATTGTTGAAAGCCTGTTTTCAAGGAAGTGTTAGGATTTATGGGGACATTTTCATTTCTGCTTTGTGTTTTGAGAATACCTCAAGGCTTAATCATGGTTTTTTTAAATGTGATTTACATAAAATATTTTGCGATTTTATATCTGTTTAGCTCAGCGTAGTGACACGTTCTCTTGCACACCACTGTGGGCATTGTTTGTGGAACTGTTTCTTGTGTTATATGCTGTCTAGTCACTTGCAACTAACAACCCTAGGTATACCAGCTCTTAACCCTGCTCTCTCCATTAATTTCATTCTTTTTGACACAACTAACTTCATTACCCTACTGACTGAATCAGTCCATCTCATCTGATCTTCCTCTCTTGTGCGGACCCTCCACCCATCCAGGCATGATGTCCTTCACCGAGGCCTGGTTCCTAGCGTGGTTCACCTGTATATGACCTGCCAGAGCAGAGCATCTCAGAAAAAAAGAAATTCAGGACCCTGACCAGCTGTTAAAAGGCTTCAGTTAGGGATGGATAATAAATTAGTTATTTGAAATAATTTTATAGCTGAAATTTTTGCAAGCAAAAATACAGTTTATTTTTAAATAGGTAGAATTTATATGAAAAGATCCTCTAGAGAGTTGTCTTTCATGAGCCATTTCTGCTCATGTGGAATCCTGGTGGGAAAAGGACTGAATGTTGTCATAATTTTCATATGCACGCATGTATACCCTTCTTATTCATGTCATTCATTTACTGTTAACGTTCACCAAAAAATTTGAACTGCTGGCTCTTCTTGTTACATACCTGCTTACGATTTACTTTTATGCCTTAGGAAATCACTAAGTTTGCATTGTCTGTTATCTTGCTTTTATTTGAATTAATACACATTGCTTTGGACTATAATGAATAACTTTTTTTCACAAATTATCTTGAGCTTTTCTCTCAACAGAGGATCCCAAGCTCTAAAATTTTTCAACACACACCAGTTAAAATGCCAGCTACAGAGACACCCTGATTGTGCCAATGTGAAGCAGTGGAAGGGCGGCCCTGTCAAGATTGACCCTCTGGCTTTGGTACAAGCTATCGAGAGATACCTTGTAGTTAGAGGTATTTTCTTTTTATAGTCTTCGTGTTTGAGATTAATTTAATCTTAAGATACATGATGTTACTATATCAGACACCTTAATGTGATTTCAAGTTTACAGAGCAAATTGGATTTTGAATTCATAATACATTTTGTTTTGTGACGTTGATGATCTCTCTGTCATCGCAGTTTTCCACTTCCTCCCTATGTGTACTGTTTTCGTTTGTCCTTTCATACCCATACTGCCATCTGAGCCTTATCTCTGGGAAGTTGACCTTGTTTAATATGGTTTCTTCTAAATCCGTAGTGTAAGGACTTGTGCTGATTTCATCCTGAGCTATGCTTTGACTACTTCATTGAGTGATGAGTTCATTTATCTTGTTGGAAATCAGTAGAAACGATGCTCTGTGCTTGTCTGTTTCCTTCCACCTTTTATCTTTATTGGTCAACATGTAATGTGTACATATTTTTGTAAGACTTAGAGTTTCGTCATTTTGCCCAGACTTTTACCTCAAGTTACATAGAGTTGTAATAGCTTTCTTATCTCTTCAGGGTATGGAAGAGTTAGAGAAGATGATGAAGATAGTGATGACGATGGATCTGATGAGGAAATAGATGAGTCTCTGGTAAGATTCAGTTCCCAGCAGACTGTAATTGATTAAGTTCAGGGCTCGTAGCTTGACACACCTTTTTTCCTGTGCCCCTGCGCTGTTCAGGCTGCGCAGTTCTTGAATTCGGGAAATGTACGACACAGACTTCAGTTCTACATTGGAGAACATTTGCTCCCGTATAACATGACCGTATACCAGGCAGTGCGGCAGTTCAGCATCCAGGCTGAAGACGAAAGGGAGTCCACGGATGATGAAAGCAACCCCCTCGGAAGAGCTGGTATTTGGACAAAGACTCACACAATATGGCAAGTGGGAAAAGGATTTCTTCTGGCTATTTTTGTGAACTTTGATATTGTATATTTTGGAATCCTTATTAATGGTTGACCTGCATAAATAGATATCCTAAATACTACTGTTTGTTTGTTTTTGAATACCCTAAAGCCACTTGATGTGTTGCTCAGTTAACATATACTTTTCTAGACCCTTTCACACCTTTAAATAAGACAGAAATGTCATCCTTGTGAAGGGCCTATCTTCCCAGTGCTGGCCTGGGGTCAGTGTTTTAGCTAGCTCCTCCTGGGAAGATGGCATCTTCCAGGAACCTGGGCCTGTATTAATTTTCTAGATAGCGAAAGAGTCAAGAAAAAGCAAGTGGACCCAATGCATATGGTGCTTCTGTTTGGGGATTTCTTCTGTTTATGTGCTTTTCCTGTCACTTTAGGTACAAACCTGTAAGAGAGGATGAAGAAAGTAATAAAGATTGTGTTGGTGGCAAAAGAGGAAGGGCTCAAACGGCTCCAACAAAAACTTCTCCTAGAAATGCAAAGAAGCACGATGAGTTATGGCATGGTGAGCTGATATCCCTGGGGCAAGAGGAGGGTAGGGACTCTCCTAGCTTTCTGGTTTGAAAGGAATTTTCACTGAGTGAAATCTTTGTAGTATGGAAAAAGGAAATTACTGCCCTACATTGAATTGCTTTTAGTGGAACCTTTGACTTTAATGACTAAAAAACAAAAAATAAGTGTCCTCAAGACTCAGTTTGTCAAGATTAGGGAAAGCTGTTACTTAATAGTTGTTTCATATGTTTTATAAGCATATGATAAAATGGAAGAAACACTAAATCCTACAGCCCCTTGTGGCTCCGGACATTTGGACTTAGCCTTTCTAACCTGAATCAGTGCGTCTTTCCTTCTAGATGGAGTGTGCCCGTCAGTATCAAATCCTTTAGAAGTGTACCTCATCCCCACACCACCTGAAAACATAACCTTTGAAGACCCATCTTTAGACGTCATCCTTCTCTTACGAGTTTTACATGCCGTCAGTCGATATTGGTATTATTTGTATGATGTGAGTAATGGCGCATATTTATGATGTTTTCCATGGTTTGTTATTCATGACATCTTATCTCTTAGTTCATATGGTTAGTGGTTTACTGGTTTCTAATGAAAGCAGAAACAACAGTACAACTGAATGCAAGGACGGTCAGTGGCCCACTGCTAATCAACAGCCCTTCGGTGGGAATCATTCCCTCTGCCTCCTCCAGCCTGCATTCTCAGGTTAAGTCTCCTGGCCTGCTTGTAAAATAGACATGAAGAGTAAATGAGTAACTCAAAGCTTGTCAAGGGTAAGGTTTATATATATCAGGGTAGAAATGCATGAAAGTTCCATGTGGCCTTTTATATTTTCAAAACATAATAAAGAGTATGGAGTTGGTCTTATTTAAAAACAAAAATTAGCTGCCACAACCATGACTGAGCCATCACCAGTGGTTTGTAGGCGGGATGTGTGGTGTTAAGAGATGTGTATATATGTCATACTCTTCTTAGGAATTTGAGCTAAATTTAAATTTTGGCTAAAAACCAGTAGGTGATTAGCTGTTGTTTGTCTGGTAGGTTGTATGTTGACTGGAAACAAGAGTATTGTGGTGATAAAGATGACTGTCATCCTGATGCTTTATTACAATCAGACAACAATTTTTTTACAGAATGCAATGTGCAAGGAAATTATTCCAACTAGTGAATTTATTAACAGTAAATTGACTGCGAAAGCAAACAGGCAGCTTCAGGACCCTCTAGTCATCATGACAGGAAACATCCCAACGTGGCTGACTGAGCTGGGGAAAACCTGGTAAGATGAGTGCTTTGTGATGGTGACCTCGCTTTGTGATGGTGACCTTGGTGGAATTGCCATTGGACTGGGCTGCGTATTTGCCATATAAATACAGGCTTTAGAAAATGTGCTCCAGTGTTTTAGGGCATCATTATATTAGACCAGGGCTTGCTTAGTGGATACGTTTAGCTTCCCAGCAGACCTGGCCAATTGAGGCTGGAACTAGACCTGTCCCTGATCATGTGTGTACATATGTGACACGGGAGAGTATACAAAGGTCTTTGGCTGAGAAGGATTTAATTTGGCACACTGGGGTGGAGTCTGAAGGAGTGGGCAGTGGATTCCGTGACACTTTCTGTGTCCACATCTACATTCTTCTCAGATTTTCTAAAATCACTAGCCATCGAGGTGATTTAAATGAAATAAAATGCAAAACACAATTTTACGTTCACACTTGGCCCATCCTCAAATGGAACAGAATAGATTTAGCTATTGAGATAATCACTTGGGCATTGGATTGGCAGTTGTAGTGGTAGTGAATGCCTACCTCATACTTCTGGAGGTCTTTATTGCTGCACATTTCATTCTTTGAAAATCAGTAACTGCTTTTTTACTTCAGATTGGTGTGAGATTGCACAGCTGGAAGGGAATTTGTTACTGGTAGTGCCATCAGTTGTGTGTGTGCGTGTAATGCTGCACCTAGGCATCCTGGTTACACTGTGTTCATATATATATATTTTGGTGAAGTCTTCACTAGTCCTGAGAAACCCCAGTAGTGCGTGGTTAAACATTTAGCTGCAACTGAATGAGGCTCTGCTTAAACTCACCAGCAGCTGCAGGGAAGAAAGATCTGACATCCTGCTTCTGTAAACATTAACAACCTTGGGTACCCTCTGAGGCAGTTCTGCTCTGTCCTGTACTATTGTTTTGACTAGGCATAACCTTAATGGTAATGGGTCTAGTTGCCTTTTAAGGGGCCGTAGTGACAGAGTGGTTATGTGCTCTCTGCTAAGGTTCAGAACGATTCACACCCACCAGGTGCTCTGGATGAGCTAGGGCTTGGCAGTTGGCTCCTATAATGAGGAGTCCAGTAAACCTTTTGCAGGCAACCCTACTTGTTCCTAGAAAGGTCACTTAGAAGTTGAAATTGACTCAACAGCACACAGTAGTAACAGCAAGTTCTTTTGAGTTCTGGTGGTTGCTTGTAGGTTTCTTTCCTTTTCATGCTGAAGGACATGGCTTCCATTCCCAGCCAGTGCACCTCATGTACAACCAACAGTCTTGTCATTGGAGTCTGGAATGTTGTTTTGATGTTGAACTCAAAACTTACAGATTCAGACTAAGAAGAAAGGCCGCGTATGAATCACAGTAGTCTGGATAACTAAGAGTACTGAGAATGGCATTGGGCCAGGCGTTACTGCATTGCTGTGCACTGGAGCCTACATGAGTTTGGGGCAGATTGATTCTGCACATGACAAAAGAAGTCCCTATTGTCTTTCAGACAAATTCCAGAATAAATGAAAGGTTATCTTAGTTAGGCTAGATTTTTAAATGTAAGATGTTACAGATTGAAGTTCAGATATTACGGTGATTTTACTTTTTAAGAAATTTCATGTAAGACTGATGTTAAAAGTCATGTAAAAATGTCACAGAATTTGCCTTGACTATCTCTATATATTGATTGTAAGTCATACCAGAACTTGTTTCAAATACAGGTTTTGTTGAGTTTTGTTTTTAAAATTATTTCTGATTGTATCCCAATAATAAACCTATGTTGCATCTTTCTACAGCCCATTTTTCTTTCCTTTTGATACCCGGCAAATGCTGTTTTATGTAACCGCATTTGATCGAGACCGAGCAATGCAAAGATTGCTGGATACCAACCCGGAAATCAACCAGTCTGATTCTCAAGATAGCAGAGTTGCACCTAGATTGGATAGGAAAAAAGTAAGTTAAAGTGAATGATGAAACTACCAGTTTGATAAATCTGTCGCTCCATTTCCTGTTGGTCTTGGAGGTGTGTCCTGGTCCTGTCTTCTCTAATCGTTCTATTTTGTGAGGTACTCATACTTACCTATCACATCTGGTAGCTGAAGTATCTGTCATCTTGAGCCTGTAATAAAGATTACCCCCTCCCTTTATGCAGTTGTCTAGTTTTTGTCCAAAATCAAAGTCTTCTGAAACTTTTGGTTCTGAATGATGAACTTAAACCTTAGTCTCGCTTTACACAACAGCAAAATCTCTCAGATCCACTTCCTCAGGAAGTCACTCCTGTTAGAAGAGCTGCACCAGCATCCACAGTCTCATTCCGGTCTTTGCACCTGTCTCGCCCTCTGCTACCAACATCTTCCTGTACCTTCATTGTGGCTCACGTCTGTGACTAAAGCATTTATACCTGAGTGTCAGACCTCTACCTCTGATACTTTTTGTCTTCTCTGGTCATTGGAACCACTTCTTAGCTGAGGGTTCTTAATAATTGTTCTTCTTCCCAAAACCTTTATTGCCCGAAGTACCTTAAGAGCCATTAATAATGAGAAGAAAAGTGGGAGAAAATGGTAAGGGCTGTTGTAACGCTAAACATAAAAGTAGTTTTTAAAAGAAGAGGCTGTTTCTTATTCCTTATTGTCTTACTCTTGTTATGTGTCTTAAAGTTAACTCTGACTCTCTAGTGTGACCCTCTGAACAACAGCTCTGAAACTTGCCTTATCCTGAGCCAGCCTCACTATCTCCAACACATTTAACCTATTGCTACTCTCACTGTCTTAATCCATCTCATCGAGATCTTCCTCTGTTGTTCTCACCTTCCACCTTTCCAAGCATGAGGTCCTTCTCCACAGACTAGCCCCTCCTGACAACATGCCCCGAGTGTGTGAGACCGCTTCACCATCATCACCACCAAGGAGCACCTTAGTTACACTTTTTCTTTAGGGTTTTATAAACAGTGCTGTTGGGGTGATGTGGAAATCTGGCACGAGTCTTCCTCATGATCCCATGCCTTGTAAGGTCTGATTGTAGCATCTTGGCAAGTAAAGGCGAGCCAGTCTCTTTCTAGCCTTCCTCCCCTGCCTCTGCATCCTCCAAGCTGGGAGTGTTTTAGGAAACTGCAGCCCTGAACTGCAGGGTCTGTGAGGTCCTTTTTTAACCAACTTAAGTTTTCGAAACTTTCCCTGGGTTTGAGATAAGGTGGTAATTACACTTCACCTCTTGTTCCCCCTGGAAGACATCATGCCAGGAAAGGTAGAGGGTCAGGCAGAGAGAGGGAGACGCCCAGTGACCTCGGTTGACACAGTGGCCAACAGCATGATCAGGGGGATGGGGCAGATGTTTCAGTCTGTTGTTCACGGGGCTGCTGTGAGGTGGAAGGCCACTTGATGACACCTGACAACAGCTAGCTTGCCCACCTCGTCTGAGGTACATACATAGACTGATTGCACTTCAGGAGAGCAGATCTCACTTGTCGCTTTCTTCGCAGCGGACTGTGAACAGAGAGGAGTTGCTGAAGCAGGCCGAGTCTGTGATGCAGGACCTCGGCAGCTCGCGGGCCATGCTAGAAATCCAGTATGAGAATGAGGTGAGCACGCACGCCAGCCCCTTGTTTCTTGCCTGGATGTATTCAGGGGTTTGGTTTTGTTGTGGGGTTTTGGGGTTTTAGTTTTACATCAGAAATCTTGAGATTTTTACTGGACTATAAGGAAATGGACAATAGTTATAAAGAGCAGGGACAGGAACCATCTGTCACCACAGAATGTCCCTCAGCACTTTAAACTGTCCCCGTCCAACTACTGGCAGTCATCTGTTTTCTCACCCAACATCTGCTTTTAGAAATAAGAGCAAATACTTGTATTTGTTTAGGTCTGTTGTAGTTTTGGTGATTTGTTTCTAGTTAGCAGAAATAATTTTATGACTTAACTGGCTCTCTATCACCATCTGGTGGATACTGGGTGCCACTACAGGCTTCTCCTTTCTGCTTCTCTCTCTCCACTTCTGGGAGCCCATAGAGATCTGTTGCTCACACTGAGTGTTGACCATTATGGAGCCTCCAGTCCCAATTTTGGGAGACATCCACACTTGTGCACACCTGGTGTATGAGTTCTTGGGAGAAACAAAAGAAAATTGAGAGACTGGAGTGTGATCGTGGCAGGACGAGGATTAATCTAATGAAGAGACATTTGAGCAGAGACAGGTTGTTACTGTTTGGGCAATAGTCGTTCCAACAGAAGAACAGACGCCCTGGGGGTGAATTCTTTGGCCCTTTCGGAGACTACTGATGCACAGTAGACACCGATGGAGTCGTAAGAAAGCACATCATGTAGGCAATAGCAAGTACTTGACATTTAGCTGAGTATGATGGGAAACCTTTGGAGAGTGCTGAGATCAAGCTGCAGGGGTATGCTGGTGGGGAGCCTGCATGGGGTGGGGGGGCTGCAGTAAGCCAGATTGAGCTCAGACTGGATACTTAGAGTGCTCGCTCGTAGGCTGGGTGCGGGGATGGTAAGAAAGAGCACTTGATGATGGCTCCTGGTGTTGATGGGGCATTTACCCCCAGTGAGGGAGTATGCCATTTTCTGGATTACAGAATATCCCAGGGGAAGGTGGGAGGTCCTCAAAAAAGTGTTCCCAGGTCTAAATGGACTATTAGCTTGAAAGTCATAATCTGGTGGACTCTAGTAAATCCTTGTAAGTTTTGGAGATAATTTTTTAAAACAAGATACTGATAATATAGCACCATTAATTTGCAGAGTCTCTGTAAGTGAAATGATAGCTTTCTGGGAAGGGCTGAGGTTGGATGTGGCCTGTCAGCTTGACACACGCTTATTTTGTTTGAGCACGTCTTTGTTGGTCAGAGCTGTGAAGAAGGAACTGCCATGAAACTGTCTTTGCACGTCTTTGTTTCTAATATGAGTTCCATTAACATCTTTGTTTCTAATACGAGTTCCATTACTCGTGGTTTTCCGTCTTTGCTGCTTACTTCACCTTTGGAGTTTATTTAAAACATCGAGGACCCAGGCTTTCATCTAGACCACTTAAGTGGGACTGTTAGGACACTTTACTCTCTGTGCATTCCTAAAGTTCCAGGGTTTGTGAGCCTCGGTGAGGCTCAAAAACCTGTGAAGCTAAAATTGCCTCTGAATGTGTCAAGAGACCTCACAGGACGAGTGCTGTGTGTACATGAATGTAAAGGCTTTTGGGGTTGATAGGGATATTTCTTTGAGGTGGTGACATTGAAGCTGGTTTTAAGAGAAAAGGGCACATGCTGTGTCCTGGACAACACAGCATTGTTCTTTGAGGCTGGGAATCCAGTAACAGTGCTTTCATCAGCTACATGTTCAGTTACAAGTTGGAGTCACTGTCCGAGCTAAGACTGAATAAATTCAGTCAGGACACTTTGGTAGATATCACATAAGTCTATAGACAGTTACCATTACTATCCAAACTGCCCAAAAAATTAGCAGTTGACGAAAGAGCACCACCCATTCTAAACTTAAAGTTGTTCTACTTTTGTTCTCTTGCAGGTTGGCACTGGTCTTGGGCCCACACTGGAATTTTATGCACTTGTATCTCAGGAACTACAGAGAGCTGACTTGGGTCTCTGGAGAGGTGAAGAAGTAACTCTTACCAATCCAAAAGGTAATGCTATTTGTGAGTTTAGCTTTTTTCCAAATGCAGGAGCATTCGTGTCTGTTCACCTTCTGTGTTGGGGAGCTGCCTTCAGTCCCTGGTCAGTGTGCCTCCTGTGCAGCCCCCACCCAACTGTGAGGGGTGGCTGTGCATGCTCTGGTGCTGAGTGGGTTTCAGAGGAGCTGCTAGACTGTAGAGAGGAAAATCTGGCAACGTGTTTCTGCAGTAGCCCATGAAGATTCTGTAGATCACAGCAGTCCAGTCAGTACAGGAGCAGGACAGTCTGTTCACCCCCTGGGGTCACTGAGTCCAGCCAGGTCTGACAACAGCCATGTTCTCCTAGAGCACCATTCCCTGCTCCACAGTCATTCACCTCGTTTCTTTAAGCCTCTGTGGCGTTTATCAGAGGAAGGAAGGCCTTCCAACTCTAGGAATTTCCTTCAGTGATCTGCTTTCTGATTTTGAGAATACTGACTTTCTCAAATGGTCTTACTTTCCACCTCCTTTTATTTTAATTGTGTAATTAATCTCCTTTTATAGGAAGCCAGGAAGGGACCAAGTACATTCAAAACCTCCAGGGCCTGTTTGCACTTCCATTTGGTAGGACAGCCAAACCAGCTCATATCGCAAAAGTTAAGATGAAGTTTCGCTTCTTAGGCAAATTAATGGCCAAGGCGATCATGGATTTCAGATTGGTAAGTTGGGAACGATCTGCCTTTTTACAACTTTTGAGCTAATTGTTTTGTGAAGGCGTTGTGCTGTGGGATTTTGTTAAAAATCCTAATGGGCCAAGGTGAGACCCAAACCTTCCTGTTCTCAAGTCAGTTCCCACATGAGAAAGGATGGTTTTCTTTGCTTTTTTAAAAAAATATTTGATACTAAATTAGGTATATTTTGACTCAGTAGAGTAAGATGTGTTTCAGAGGTCCTTATGTAATGATTTGCCTTTTTTGTTTTAAAGGGTAAAATAATGGTAGGTTTATTAGAAAATTACATCCCCAAATGAAATGGATGGACCTTCCCCCCATGAAAGGAAATAATGAGGGGACGCCAAAATTTTGCTCTAATTAAGTCAGCTTTTAAATGGGATTCTTGCATATTCTAAACATTTTATGGTGATAGGGCCTAAAAGTAAAGTATAAATGGAAATCATCAACTTTAAGAAATGGGAGAGATAATCCTTTTCAAGGTTACTTTCTGAGGAATTTTTTATTATGATTTTTGTGAAAGAGAATTTTTATTATTTATACACCTTTTTTTCTTGTCTCCTTTTCCCCTAATTTACTTTGTATTGTATGTCTTGTGCCAGCTTAATTGCCACACATCTAATGCCTAATTATCCATTCCTTTCAAATAGTCCTATATATCTCTTTCTAATTGAGCTCTTTTGAAGTATCTTCTATAGAATTGAGGCAATTCTAGAAGCTTGGTGTAACTTATCATGCTAACTTAATTTCCCCTTCAGGTGGATCTTCCCCTTGGCTTACCGTTTTATAAATGGATGCTCCGACAAGAAACTTCACTGACATCACACGATTTGTTTGACATTGACCCAGTTGTAGCCAGATCAGTGTATCACCTAGAGGACATTGTCAGACAGAAGAAGAGACTTGAACAAGATAAATCTCAGGTAAGTGTAGCAGATGACCATTGGGAGAGCAGAGCCATTCTTTGGTTTGTTTTAAGACAAATCTGGTCTTTTTTTAAAGAGTTTGTATTTGCCATCGTTGGTAATTATTCTTAGGTGTGTGTATGAGAGAGAGAAACCTTTGGCTTCCCAATGGGTCAGGTCACCTGAGGTAGATAACAACTTTGACTCATAAATAAGACTTACAGAGAAACCCTCCTTCCCTTTTTCTTTTCTGTGAGGATCTATATCATACTGAATTATTTTAATCCATAAAACTATTCTCCGCAGAGACTTATTTTAGGAATGATGCTGGTCTGTTTCTGGAAAGATCTCAGGCAGATGTTAGAGGTCCTGATGGTTAGTGTGTTAAGGATCCTCTGCTAGATCTCCTGGAGCCTTATAGTATGATTTTATTTTATTTTTTATTTGCATATTAACAAAGATGTAAAGTCATGCTCCTCAGACTGAGATTGAGAGTGTTTTTATATCTGATATTAAAGCAGTGGTTGTTTTTTGGGTTGTTTTTTTTTCACAAGTTGCACAGATCAGATAGTGCTAAATTAATTCCCCCTTTAGAGAAGATACAAAGCAAGAGTATTGAAATGAGATCCTGTTTCAAGTAAAATGTCACATCTCTTGATGAAATAGCAAAGAGCTGGTGGAGAGATAAGGGTTTAGAATGCACTCTCATCATGAACTATGATTTTAAGAAATTCAGTATTTATTACCATGCTAATTAGTACTCGGACCATGCACACTTGAAAAAGAGAAATATCTCCCCAAACAAAATCTGTGTTAGGATTTTGGAAACCAGTTAGATTAAAGCTTATCAACTTCCTAAGTTTTATAAATGACCATCCTCTTTTGGGGGATCACCCTTCCCCCCCCAATTTATTTATTAATTTTAATGACAGTTTACAGAGACTTGGGCTTTCCAGTCATTCATTGTTGCACTTTTCTCCCTGCCCCACAAATCACTTTTTTTTTTTAAATTTTGTGTGTGTACCGTCAAATCAGATCTGACTGGTACAGGAGTTGCCCTCCCCCCTTCTCCAGCAGAGCATCTGGTGGATTCCAACTGCATACCACTGGAATTGCAGTGCAACTTCATGTCACTAGGCCACCAGAGCTTCCTCCCAAATCACTCTTCTCCTTGAAAAGAAAAAGAAAAAAGACATTGTTATGCAATCCCTCCCTTCACATTCACTCCACTATGCAGCCTTCACTCTGGACTTTTGTAATGACAAGAATACCCATTTATTATATCCCTTTTAAACAGATCTCTCCCTATCTGTTTTCAATGCAATATATGTCATTCCGCCCCTCTTTTTCTGTCTTCCCTCAACCCTGATGTCAGTCCCGTTTTACAACAATGGCCCTATGCAATGTTTGTCCTTTTGTGACTGAGATATTTCACTCAGCATAATGTCCTTCAGGGTCATCTGTTTTGCACAATATTTGGTGAGTTCCTTGTTTTTCAATGCTGCATAGTATTCCATTGTGTGAATGAATATACCAGTGCTTCTCTACCCATTTGTTTATTGATGGGCACTTGGGTTATTTCCAGCTCTTTGCTGTTGTGAATGAAGCCGCAATAAACATGGGTGTACATATATCTGCTTGAGTGGCAGTTAGGTTTCTTTAGGGTAAATTCCCAGTAGTGGAATTGCTGGATCAAATGGTATTTCTATTTACAACTTTTTGAGAAAATGCCATACAGCCTTCCATAGTGATTGCACCATTTTATACTCTCACCAGCAGTGAATCGGTGTCCAGTTTCTCCACAACCTCGCCAGCATTTGTTGCTTGCTAGTCTGTTAAATTTTGCTATTCTTACTGGGGTGAGATGATATCTCATAGTTGTTTTGGGGGATCATCTCTTTGAGTAAATAATTTTTTCAAAAATTATTAACAAAGGCCTGTACTTAGACAATCTGAATGTGGGCTGTATGATGAAACTCTAGAAGAACTGTCTATCTGATAGTCATTAATGTGTTTGAGATCCCAATCTAATGCTAATATTTGCTAATGAAAATCTTTACAAAGAAAATAACTTCTTGAAGAGATTTTTCCATTATAGAGTAGTGATCACCTTGCTCTCTGGTGGGAGGTGAGGATCAAATGGGCAGTATTCCATGAAGGGAAGATTCAGTGTAGCTTTTTGGTTTGTTTTTAATATATTAGCTGGGAAATGAAAAACTTCATAGGATGCAATCAAATGACACCTGAAATATATTTAAATTTGAGATTGTCTATGGCATAATTTTTTTATCAACCATGTTTTCCCTTTCTTTTAAATCCTAGTACTTCGTTTGAATTCTGGATTATTGAAAGTCCTACGCAGTTTTCAAGATAACTTAAAAAAAAACCCCAACACAAAACCTTAAGTTTTCCTAGTCCCATTGATTTTGTTCTGTACCTTGAATGAAGTACCTTTTAGTAATACACACTAGTTTAAACCTTTATTCTTTGGTGCAAGATTTTGTTGGAAAGTTGTTTCACTGTCATTTTGTTGTTGTTGTTGTATATTAAGTTTTGGATTCCTGCAGTGTTGGATTAAGCATCCAAGTGTTCTTTCGACTTGAGGCTTATAGAGGCAGTTCGTTCATTACCAGCATTAGATAATGTATTATATTTGTGAGTATTTGCTCTCTGTGTGTATATGCACAGTTCAGATGAGCCTGAAATTTCTTAAAACCCAGTCTTAAAATGTAACCATTGTGCGAAAGATTATTATGGACTCTGGTGAGATTTAATCTGAGAGGAGAAACTAGTCCTTGGAAAAAGACACACTTGGAAGCATCAGTGAAGGGAGGCAAAGATCCTCCGCAAAATAGATTGACACAGTTAATTGAAACAGCGGTCTCAAGCATAGCAGAGCTGATGAGGATGGCATGATTAGCGCCACCGACAACATACCCTACTGTGGAAGAATACACAAGCAACCAGCCAACTTGTTGTGGGGTGGTTGTAGTTTTTTTGTCTTGTTTCACTTAGAAAGGTTTTTATTATTATTATTATTTATTTTTGTGTGCGTGTA